GTGGTATTTCCTAGTTTTTGGTAGCCGTTTTTGGCGGTGGTGGGGCTGAATGTTTTCTGTGGATGACGCTGTTGGTCTTCTGCTATTTTTGTTTCTGAAGAAAAAATAGAAAATTAAATTGAGGCTGTTGGATGATAGCCACGTCAGTGTGTTTCTTACTAGGGACAGGATTTTCTAAAACCAGTTTTGTTCCACTATCCTCGCGTTAGGGCTAGGGATTCTTATATATCTAGTTGATTTTATTTCTTATGGTCTTGTTTATAGTTCAATTAACCGTGCACTAAGATTTTTATTTTTAGAATATGCAATTATGAATTTTTGTGTGAAAATTTTCTGTGATTTCCTTGGAGATCAGTACAGTGTATAGTGTATTATGATGATTTTGGGTGCACTTGCTGCTGTTGTGCTAAATGGGACTACAAAGCGGGCTATTGCTCTAGCCCAGTGATTCTCAACCAGTGTGCCGGGGCACACAGGTGTGCCGCGAAATTTTGAACGGCACACTAAGAACATTTCTCACTAAAGAAGCCAGCTATTTGACTGATGAAATACGAAATACTACAATAAAAAAGTTCATAGCTGCGTTTTTTCTTTATTTAGTTTGAGTCATTCTATGTGTCTATGACTAGTCTCTGTCTACGGTTGTATGCCGTCTATGACTTGCCATGTTTTTATTTTGTAAAATTCAGATATCTTTTACGTATATTTAGCCAGGTGTGCCGCCAATTTTTCATGTGTTCCAAGGTGAGCCGTTGGCAAAAAAGGTTGAGAACCACTGCTCTAGCCGTATGAATATTCAAACCAAGGGAGGCTGTTGTTTTCAATTTTTCAATCCAGAATTTTTCTCCTTTTATCCTAAAAGTTTCAAAGTTCTTAGTATTTTCTATGGCGTGACAGTGAGATCAGAAATGTCGTAATTTGGTTGGTTAAAGTGATTGGATGATACCGATTTAATTGTCTCTTTTGGTGACCCTTCCTATAAGTGCATTCTTGGTGTCTCCTATGTATTGTTTGTCACATTGTCTACAGGAAATTAGATAAATTATGTTTGAACTGCTTCACGAAAGTTGGTGGTCTAATATTGGGAATTGTGTGTCATCTATTTTATTATAAAAGTGGTCGGATATGTTGATGATTTTGCATATCTGATATCTGGGGTGGTCACAAGTTTTGGTTTTAAATGTTAATTGCATATTGTTTGTTTCTTTGGCGGCAATTTCAGCTAGAGTATGCGTCGGAGATATCCTTTGGAGTACCCCATTTCCCTTAGTTTGCCAAAGGTGTACATGTATCACGAAGTCGCTTGCCATGGGACTTCTTGGGTCATGCTAAATCTTGACTAGTGTAGGCCTACTCTTTTACAGCGTCTTTGGTAAAGTGACGTGACTTCAGGTACTCCAGTTTATCCGCTAGCATGGCTTGGTGGTGTGTCGACAAGGACGGGGCGACGTCCTTGGCTCATTTCATGTTCAGTGACTCTACGGTGGTGGCTATGGTTGGCGTTTTCATTGCAGGCTTTACGAATTTATTCAGATTTTGGATCTTCCAGGCGAAACTTCTGGTAGGTGTTAAAGTCTCCTGGCTTCCCATAATGGTCAAGTGGTGGGGCATTGGAGAGCCTGGAAGAAGGCCTTGGCGACACACGAATTCTCTGGTTTGCGCTGGTTTGGTTGGCGCAGGGTTGGTTGTTACTTTGATTGGCGTTGGTTATACTGGATACCCCCCCCCCCCCCTCTGCGCCCCCCCCCCCCCCCTAGTTACGGGCTTGGGTGGTTACGATTTGATCTTTATTCGTAAACACTGGTGGGTAAGACGCCGGCTCGCTAGCCTGTAGGTCGGGTGTTCAATCCCTGCATTGGCCGAGAAGGTTCATCCAGATTTTTCGGCGTGGTTTCCACTTGTCAGTGATGCAGGAAGGAGGGCCTGACAAGGTCTGCCCCGAATCTGAATTTTGGGGTATAGGGGTAGCTCGGACCGGGGAGTAACATAGGCCAGGTGGCGTTAGTCTACCACTTCCGGTTTCGGAGTTATGACCCCCGAGCGAAGCCGGTCTGTTCGGGGTTGGCGGCTACACTAGGTCTGCCCCGAGTCTGAAATTTGGGGTATAGGGGTAGCCCGCACCGGGGAGTAACATAGGCCAGGTGGCGTTAGTCTACCACTTCCGGTTTCGGAGTTATGACCCCCGAGCGAAGTCTGTCTGCTCGGGGTTGGCGGCTACATCTGCCCCGAGTCTGAAATTCGGGGTAAAGAGGAAGCTCGGACCTGGAAGTAACATAGGCCAGGTGGCGTTAGTCTACCACTTCCGGTTTCGGAGTTATGACCCCCGAGCGAAGCCGGTTTGTTCGGGGTTGGCGGCTACACAAGGTCTGCTCCGACTCTAAAATTTGGGGTATAGGGGTAGCTCGGACCGGGGAGTAATATAGGCCAGGTGGCGTTAGTCTACCACTTCCGGTTTCGGAGTTATGACCCCCGAGCGAAGCCGGTCTGTTCGGGGTTGGCGGCTACACAAGGTCTGCTCCGACTCTAAAATTTGGGGTATAGGGGTAGCTCGGACCGGGGAGTAATATAGGCCAGGTGGTGTTAGTCTACCACTTCCGGTTTCGGAGTTATGACCCCCGAGCGAAGTCTGTCTGTTCGGGGTTGGCGGCTACACTAGGTCTGCCCCGAGTCTGAAATGTGGGGTATAGGGGTAGCTCGGACCGGGGAGTAATATAGGCCAGGTGGCGTTAGTCTACCACTTCCGGTTTCGGAGTTATGACCCCCGAGCGAAGCCGGTCTGTTCGGGGTTGGCGGCTACACAAGGTCTGCTCCGACTCTAAAATTTGGGGTATAGGGGTAGCTCGGACCGGGGAGTAATATAGGCCAGGTGGCGTTAGTCTACCACTTCCGGTTTCGGAGTTATGACCCCCGAGCGAAGTCTGTCTGTTCGGGGTTGGCGGCTACACTAGGTCTGCCCCGAGTCTGAAATGTGGGGTATAGGGGTAGCTCGGACCGGGGAGTAATATAGGCCAGGTGGCGTTAGTCTACCACTTCCGGTTTCGGAGTTATGACCTCCGAGCGAAGCCGGCCTGTTCGGGGTTGGCGGCTACACTAGGTCTGCCCCGAGTCTGAAATTTGGGGTATAGGGGTAGCTCGGACTGGGGAGTAACATGGGCCAGGTGGCGTTAGTCTACCACTTCCGGTTTCGGAGTTATGACCCCCGAGCTAAGCCGGTCTGGTCGGGGTTGGCGGCTACACTAGGTCTGCCCGAGTCTGAAATTTGGGGTATAGGGGTAGCTCGGACCGAGGAGTAACATAGACCTGGTGGCGTTAGTCTACCACTTCCGGTTTCGGGGTTATGACCCCGAGCGAAGCCGGGTATCCTGCTAGTACATGATAATAAGAAAAACGGGTCTGAGAAATTTAATTAAAATACGATTTAATAGTAACCTGCCCCGCGAAATTTGTGTCACATAATTTGAAATAAATGTCAAACCGTTTACTGAAATTATTCGCAATTTAATACAGCCAAGTACAATCTCGGTCAGTGAATACTGAATATATTAATAAGCTTTAAGTGTTACTTTTTGGGCGTTCTCACACTTTTTTTTATCATAAGTTATTTTCATGGTAACTAACGTACTTTCCAGTGCATGTACTATATTTAAGTTAATTTTAGGGTCATCCTCATGCTTCGGCACACCACGCGCTATAAATTATTTTTAGGGCCATCCTTATATTTTTAGATGCACCACATGCTATAAGTTATTTTTAGGATCATCCTTATATTTCTAGATGCACCACATGCTATAAGAATTCTCATACTTTTCGGGACAATACGTTCTATAATATAGTTTTAGGGTAGTTCTCATACTCATATAAGGTATTTCTAGAGATATTCTCACCTTAGAGGTATGAGGTATTTTTAGGTAAGTTTTTCGGAAGGAATTTGGTTAGATTTTAGGGACTTCTCATTCATTATTGGCACTCGTATGCTATACGTTACTTTGTTTCGTTAGTAGAGTCTTCTTTTGGCATATATTTGTGCCGTTTAATTTATTCCTTGACCATTCCTAAACGTTGTATCATTAATGGTCTATTAGTTAGCGACACTCTTCACTCAGGGACATTCTCTCTTATACATTGTTGCACTCAAGGATTCTCCTTCCCTTCTGCAATAATGGAATCATTTCTCTTATATATCTTTTTTTTTTTAAAAAAAATAAAAATCGCATTTTAATTAAAGTAGCTAAGTCTCTAACTCAATATCATCCAAACTCTTCAACATTGAAAACACGATTTATTTGTCAAATTAAATCAACATTCATGTTGTGATCTTACCGGAAAAAGATGGGCTTTTGATATCCAATATTTAAGACAAAATAAACATTTTACCATTGGTACACGAATCGTGTACCATAATGCGCTTCAGTCCCAGTTGTATCAAGAGACTCGAGGGGCGAGGCTAGACACATTGCACCAAATCAAACGGCGTATGTAGACTGGAATAACCAGACGCTAGAAATTTGCACTCGCTTGAAACTGCTGGCTTATTTCGCCGAACATAACTGATTTGAAATTGGAGCAAAAAGGGAAACCACTGAATGTAAATCAGTTTATATACATTCATATTACAGTATTATATGCGTTGCGACCCACTTTTGTCAATTTCTAGGTCCCAAATATTAGCGATTTAGCTCCTTTAAAATAGTAATTGTGTTCCATAATATTTTCTTCATGAAGATACCACTGGTTGTAGATCGCCACGAAAAATAGAAATTATGTGATAATGTTGACAACTTTTCTAGAATGTCCTCTAATCATAGATTCTGTGGCTTTTAATGGGTGGAATAATTACCGCAGTTGTCCATCAAACTATACATTGATCCCATTTTCTGTACCCTGACATTTAAATTAAACATGTATACTATCATAAACCTTATTAATAATATCCATTGTCCCGTTAATTATTATTATCTCCTGAACTTACAACACCCAAAGCATTTTCTAACTAGACGCAAAGAGTTTTAGTCCATTTGATTTTCTTTTCAATTGTGGTTTATAAAAACCGTAATGTTGCTAACGGAAATAATTTTGCCTCTAATGATAATTTTGTGTTTTGATGTGGTCCAATCTAAAACGAAAAAACCGATGCTGGAAATACCCGCTGAGAAAGGTTGGTTTGAACCGTTTTTATTATTCCGTTATTTATTTGAAATGTCAGATACACAATCTATGAAATGTTTTTGTACCGTTGAATGAATATCCACATATAATTGGTAGCCTGGTCGATGATCAGGAATATAATTCTTCAATTCTTCACTGAAACGCGGGTAGGCCTAGTACTTTGTGCATGGACAAGATCAAGAGTTATGTACCTACATTGTTCAACATTCACATATATATATATGAAAACAGATGTTAGCATTTAAAAAAATCGTTTTAACAACCCAGCTGTTAACAGAACACAATTTTTACGCGAAATAATCACTGGTTTCATGATAATAGCACGTCATTTTGACAAGCTGTGCGTGAGAGCGATCGTCGTGCAATATAATGATTGTTTCTGTATCTGTAAATTATTCATGCCTATCAATTAACTTTCAAAAATATCAAGACTTAGGTTGCTTTTTTTTAAAAACTCAACCTTATTATTGCTATCTCTTTTCAAGTAAATCTAAACTTACAATTTGTCAAATGTAGTGGACTTTCTAATCTTCACCGCTGAAAGAAATATGAGAAATTCTAGCTTATTCACTCTGAGGTCATTGGATGGGTTTGCTTCATGGAGATGGGAGTAGCTTTTCTGTCGTAGGGGTGGCGGGGATGGGGTAGGTGGTGGGGGAGTGGGCTTCCTCTGTGGGAGTGGTCTGCTCCGAGAGATATTTTGATATGTTTCTCTTGCTGATCTATCTGGGGGTTGTCGCCAGGTCATGTTTATTTATTGTGTGGTGTGATTCTGTGGTACTTTTATAATCAAATGTTGGTCACTTGGAGATGACGAAGCGCTTAAACAAACCAAGTATATTACGTTTTCTTTTTCAGCTTGTCCAGGCACAAACAATGACTTCAGTTACACTGCTAGTCCAGAAAGGCACTACCGCAATATGCGACGTCGCTACAAAGGATGTACTCATATTTACGGTAACTTGGAGGTGACACATCTTAATATTGAGAATTACAACTACGACCTGTCCTTTTTAGAAGACATCCGTTACGTCTCCGGCTATGTTTTGATCGGATTGTCGTCGGAAATATCAGTTCTACCTTTGCCCAGTTTACAGATCATTAGAGGTAATCAGACGATAAGAATTCGAGATGCAGAAGTCAGTCTAGGCGTGGTGCTAAATTACAGATTCAGTGACCCCAAAGTAGGACTTACAGAGCTCCATCTTCCCGCCTTACGAGGTTTGTTTAAAGTATACTTTTCATTAATTAATTATTTTCTCCGACAACATTTATATAGGGAAACAGAGTACAAGTTCATTGCCATGAGATGTACACAGTTGCAGAATACAGTCACTAGCTCTAGCTTTTGAGATCTGAGGTTGGGGTCATTACCGCACTGTAACAGAATTCGAAATTTATTTAGGATCTGTTCCTTGGTAAAATTCTCACGCTTTGGAAACCCGGGTGCAGATCAATCACAAAAAAATGTGTTTGTTGCGAAAAGCATGTTAATTATTTAAAAAAAATGGTTTATTTTTCACTTCCAGAGATTTCAAACATGTTAATTATTTAAATGGTTTATTTTTCACTTTCAGAGATTTCAAATGGCATCGTCATGTTTGCCCAAAATCCACGATTGTGTTATGTAGATACTATTGATTGGTTCGCTATCACAGGTAGAGGAAGGAGGTCAACCATGTTCCCTCGGGGAGATCAAACCCCTCCTTTTAATCGTAAATGTAAGTAATGTAACAGTCACGTAATGAACTTTTGTATGATCGATCCGTTGGTTCTGTATAATTGATATTCAGATCGTGGCAAAACAGTGTCAAATTTTATTTTACAAGTCCATTATTCGAATTTGTGTATTCTGTACAAAGTCTCTCGAAAAACCATTTAAATAGATGTTAAAAATCTGCAATTCTGACACGGGTTGTTCTACCGAAGTTATATTACAAATGGAACATTGTTCATTAATGCCAAACAAATTGAATTTTCAATTCGCCGGGGATTGATAAATAAATAGCTACGTCATGAATCACGTGAAAGATACTTTGTTTAATATTTCAAAACTTAATTTGGAACTAAAGTGTTTGAACAGTATAACAAAGTACTTTTGGTTTTTAAATTAGTCTTTTTCCTAAAGAAATAAGATTTTTTTTAAAAGGTATTCCCGAAGAACAGAAAATAAAAATTGTGTGGCCTTGCCGTTGGAAAAGCAATCTGTAATTTTCGTGTGTCTGTTTACACTTACATTTGCTCATCAATTAAATACTGGTTGTTTTCTAAACACCATCAAAGAAATTTGGCGAAGAGTATGCTGAGGAGTGACGAATAATAAATAATTAGTATAACCTTCGTTGTTGACTGTTGTCGGCAATATCACTTGCGTGAAAGCGGACGTTAAATAAAGCTATTTCACACACTTGTCGACTTTAAGCATTATGATTATTGGCGAGACTTTAAACCCTATTTCATGCACCATGCTTATTTTGAAGGTGATGGATGTCCAACGTCTTGTAAGGTTGAAGGCGTAAGTCGATGTTGGAGTGCTAGTGAAAAGTTGTGTCAACGAGGTATGCTTTTTTCTTGAAATAATATTACGGTCTTTATCATACCTGACCTTATAATACTCATTCTTCTAATACCCATCCATATAATACGTATTCTTATAATACATAACCTTGCAAAACGTTTCTTATAGTACCCATGCAACCATATAACACCAATTATCATAATGCCCAGCCCTTTAATACCAAATACATGACCTGTTAATATTAACCCTTATAATACCCATTCGTATAATACCCAACTATATTATATCTATTCTTATAATACCCAACCATATAATATACATTCTTATAATACCCGGACGTTAAACTCCATTTCATTTCATTTTTATAATACCCAACCATATAATATCTATTCTTATAATACCCAACCATATAATATCTATTCTTATAATACCCGACCATATAATATCTATTCTTATAATACTCAACCATATAACAACCACTCTTATAATACCCAACCATATAATACCTAGTTTAATATTCAACCATATAATACCCGTTCTTATACCCAATCTTTTAATACACATACTTATAATATATAACCTTATAATATCCCCGTCTTCATTAGCCATATCGGAAAAGAACAGTAGGACGTTAATACACATTTCATATAATATCCACCTTTATTATACCTAACAATAATACACCCAACCATTTAATACTTATTGAACTTGTAATACTTAACCATATAATACCCATCTTTATAATACCAAACCGCCTAATAACGAATTGCATATCTTTGTAGTTTTACCAGATTCTTGTCATCGATCTTGTCCATATCGTTGTTTTGGACCTGGTGCTGAAGGGTGTTGTAATGCTAGCTGTGCTGGAGGATGTTGGGGACCTTCTGACAGAGAATGTATGGTAAGTACAAACATTATTCTTATTAAAGCATTTGTTTCCTTGCTTTGAGAAGGGCTATAAATAAAAGTATACATGTAGTACCATTAATCTGTAAGGGTATTCACAAAAGAAGCCCATATACACAAAGTGACAAAGTAGTGTAATAATAAGTGTTTGGTTAGAGAAATGAAATAAAATGAAATGGGGTTTAACGTCCTACTGGTTTGGTTACAGTCTTGCAGATCAAACTGGTTTTCTTATCTGTGATATTAATTATTCAATTATTGTGGGCATTTGCAGAAACAGCAAACTGCTGGCGTTCAGATTAATTAAGCTATACTGACCCCGCTAATTACATGACACCGTTTCCACCATTATCGATACTCAATTAAATCTTGCCACATACCGCGTAGGTGACTGGGCTCCGCGTGGGCTAAAAAAAAAGTTATGTTTAATAAGGTCTATACTGGGGCCCGCGTGGGCTAAAAATTTCTTATGTTTAATAAGTTCTATGTTTTCATAATTTTTTTAGATGTGTAAGGACTACAGAATGTGGAACCAGTGTGTTGGTAGTTGTCCGGCTAGATACAGCAAGCTTAATCAGATTTGTTACCGACTATAGATGGACTTCAAATGACGCACACATTTAAAGCGGCCAAAAACGCGCGTAAATTGACATTTTAAGCAGCTTAGAATGATATGACCTTTCTAGCTATGTGGTAAATGTCCATCTATTGGATCGGGTAGAAGACAAATGAAGATGACAATAAATCATTCTCTACCATGATGATTATGAATTTCCAGCGGACCTTTAGTGTTATTACTTCTACTTGACATTTAAACTGCAATAAGTGATTTTTTGAAGAAAAGAAAATTAAATCTTACCTTATAATCTTTTACTGGTTTTCCAGTTCAAGGGCAGAGACTATTTTCGAATCAGAGTACATAATAAAATAACATAGAAATGGAATGAGGTTTAACGTCCTATTTTCTGCTAATGAAGACGGGCATACGGTGTGCTATGAGGGGAATTTTGCCCACTCTTATATCGAATTACAACTTTCAAGCAATAGTTCTTTTACGACCATGGCAAGGTGTACGTACACGGGACCTCATCCGATCCGAACGACTACGCGCTGCCCCCACCCCCTTCCCTCCAGCACAATTGACAATGGGAAACCACGCAGAAAAATCCCGAAAAGCTTATTCAGCCAAGACCGGGATCGAGCAGTGGACCTCCTTACTCACCAACCCACCGCGGCTTCCTATTGCCAGAGAAGATAGGCCTATACAATCTTAATAGAAAGCCAAATTAACTTTATCGAAAGCGCGTTCTTTGATTCTCTGTACAGTAGGAATGTGGACATACTAAAATATAATAGAGATTACGAAAAGTAAGTTATACTACACCCAATCTGATTAAAATACAGATCTATATTTCGTTTCGTTTTTTATACTTTCGATGGCCTACACTACATGAAGATCTGACGAGTTGTAGTGGGGGGTTGCGTCAGGGGTGATACGGGCGGCTTTTGACCCCATGACATTAGACAATTGATTAACCAATCAGTGTTGATGTTTCTAGTTGCATACCCACAGTTCCACTCATTGCACGCCAAGAACTCACTGCAACAGACCGTTTCCTTGGCTAATCCCTCACAATCACCAAAAGCGGGTTATATAACAACTCTTCCGGATCACAGTAAAGACAAGTAAAACGAAATTTTGATCTATAAAAAAACGAAACGAAATAGGATCTGCGTTTTAATCAGATTGTACTACACCTAAAACATTTCAATTTAGTGACCTATTTTGTTTTGTAATCAACGCGTTCATTACGATATTGTGGATACTGTCATTTTTCAGCCCTCGCATTTAAACAAAATGACCAACGAATTTTGATTGGCCGATTGATTTATTTCTAGTTTGTTTGTATCATATTTTGTACTCATTGTTTGATGAATCTGTAACAAGGCATGGCGTGTCTAACCGAGTTTCTTTTCCTTTGCTTCCGTTTTATAATAATCAATGGTCTATAAATGAACAAATCAATATAAATAATTTAAGGAAATAGTGGGTGCGTAAATAACTGTACATTTGTACAAGTATGAACAACAGTCTCGGAAGATAAAAATGGTGTTTTATACTTACTTTTCTGCACCAACCGGGCTAATGACGACGGATTTGCTAATACAAAATTAAAACAAAGACTTGTTAGCAGTGTGATCCCTCTGATGAGTAGTACAGGCGAATGTGTGTGTGTCGGGGGGGGGGGGGGCGGAAATATATTTTCTCTCCTACATTCATGGAAATAACGCCATTTTCGCCCAATCACTGTAATCCTATATATGAATTCATTTAAATGAGCAGAAATATTAACTCAAAGCTTCTGAATTTATCAAATTTGCGGGTAGTTCCCCGCGACCTAACGCCAAACTTGACGTTGTCTCCGCCTTGCCCCCCCCCCCCCCCGGATTTCTAGTGACGCCCCAGTAGTGGTATCAGGTATTCTTGAAAGAGTAAACACACCTTGAAGCGTGCATCTAACGAGTCGCTCAATCAGATCGATGGTTGTGGGCAGCTGGGTAGAAGACAACAGCCGATCTTAATTAAAGTAGCTAAGTAGTAGCGTATGTAGACTTGAATAACCAGACGCTAGAAATTTGCACTCGCTTGAGACTGCTGGCTTATTTCGCCTAACATAACTGATTTGAAATTGGAGTAAAAACGGAAACCATTGAATGTAAATCAGTTTATATACATTCATATTACAGTATTATATGCGTTGCGACGCACTTTTGTCAATTTCTAGGTCCCAAATGTTAGTGATTTATCTTCTTTAAGGCAAACCACAAGGTAGTTCCTTTCGGTCTAAACGGACGAACTCCACTGATGAAAATAACGCTCTATCCCCACCTCTGCTCTACGGCTATTTTGGATTCCTTACTTTCTAATTTTTTCCCTTGCATTCATGACTGAATGTTTTTGTTTTAGCTGCTGACTGGCTGGGGACCCATGACAAGGTCTAACACTTTCCTGGGTGAAAGCCAGGCCAGGATCTACCCAATTTTGATCAGAACATAATTTAACAATGAAATTTAATAAAGGCTGAGCAGTTTTTATTCTACTTAATAATTGTATTTTCATGTATTAATTATATTTATTCCATTTTATATCTTGTATGTTTTATTTAGAAAAGCACATTTGGATTTGTAAGCCGGGCCCACTTCTTCTACAGTAATATAAATGAATATTCATATGCATAATCCATCCTAATTACAGCAGCTTCCCTCTACTGTCATGCCATCCATGAGTGATCTTAGTGATGGAGTAAGATCCACTGTGGACCAGGGTGATTTATGGTATCAAGTGAAGTATATTATCAAGAGAGAGAGAGAGAGAGAGATGGGGGTTTAACTTCCACTCAACACAACTATGTCACTTCGGGACTAACATATTGTTCAATTTATTACTATAATTTGCTTGGGGTCTTTAACCGTGGGAGGAAACTGGAGAACCCATAGAAATACCAAGACAGGCGACCCTATATATAAACAAATAAACAAGTTGAGACTACTAGATATTTTTATTTACCCGGAACCATAAACATACATATAAATATATATATGTAGACATAAAACTTAATATATATATCAACAACAATCCTTTTATAAAATAATCAAATGCAAGGTAGTCATTATTAAAATAATGTCTTATACATTTAATGCAAACTATAAAATACGGTCAGAGGATCCACATAATGTCTTGCAAGTACTAAATAAAACTTGAGACTTTATTTGAGGGTTTTCTGCTTCTAAATTTAAAATTGAACTAAAACACCATACACACACTTAAACAGGTTGACCATCTTTGGTATTGAAATGCTGGTGTAAATGATTTTGTAGTGTATCTAATCGGCTAGCCGAAATCTTAAATTGCATAGCTACAATGTCACAGGTTTCATTCCGGATCTACTATAAGTAACAGCAACAAAACATTCACCCCCCAACATCAACTTTTCAGTGAGATCAACAATAAAATTTTATCATGATATTACAACAAAACTTAAGATTCTTATTACCGGTAATTGTCCGAAATGAAATGAGGTTTAACGTCCTACTTTTTCGCGCCGATTGTGCTAATGAAGACCGGCCATGAGGCAAATTTCGCCCAGACATCGGCACTACAGTCTATTCTTGTATTGAATTCCAACTGTCAAGGATTCTTTTACGTGCACGCAAAGGTGTAACTGTAACGAACCCAAGAACTCCTGGTTAGCGAGCCAGCTTCTTACTGACTAAACCACTATCTAAAATTGTCTAAAATCAAAAGGTGTCCTCCATTTATTGAACTGGACCACCTATTAAAAAGTAATCAAGGTCTATAAATAGGGCAGATGTCGTGAGAAATAGTTGGAAATCAACAGGGTCCATCTCTTTCCAACCTACAGAACCCCATACAGTCATGATTGTGTACTAATGTTTTATGTGCTGACACTATCTTGTGGATGAACAGATGGATGAGTTGTTGTGACAACAATATACAATGACATTAGGTTATATAAAAGTAAACTTTGGTATAATATAAAGTTCCATTGACAAGATCAGTTCAATACATTTTTTCTCACAAACACTCCATTTGTTAACAAGAGGGAGCTTTAGTGAAATATTTATATAAGTAACAAATGCTAATGAAAGGGGAATTAAGTCCGAAATTAGTCAAAACTTAACACATCCAAATGAATTGACACAAGGGGGCATTGAGAAACAAAGAGAACTTTTTCTTAATGCCCACACAAGTGAAGGATAAAATTAATACTCTGCCACCCCACAGCACCTTAAACCCCCACATTGCATGCTCCCCAACCCCCACCCATCCACTGATTGACACCATCTACTTCTAAATCCAAATCAACTTTTATACAGCCATAAAATAGGCATATTTAGATATAAATAGGAATTGTTCCTAGAACATGAGGCACTAGATTTCATCAATAAAATTAGATCAAATTAACCTTAATTTAAACTAAGTTAGATTATATTTAAACTTCAAAATAAGTTAGATTTTGTTTAAACTAAATTAGATTTTGTTTAAACTAAGTTAGATTTTGTTTAAACTAAGTTAGATTTTGTTTAAACTAAGTTAGATTTTGTTTAAACTAAATAAGATTTTGTTTAAACTAAATAAGATTTTGTTTAAACTAAATAAGATTTTGTTTAAAATAAGTTAGATTTTGTTTAAACTAAATTAGATTTTGTTTAAACTAAGTTAGATTTTGTTTAAACTAAATTAGATTTTGTTTAAACTAAATTAGATTTTGTTTAAACTAAATTAGATTTTGTTTAAACTAAATTAGATTTTGTTTAAACTTTAAACTAAGCTAGATTTTATATAAACTAAATTTTATTTTATATAAACTAAATTAGATTTTGTTTGAACTAAGTTAAATTTTGTATAAATAGAGCAAAACGTGTCTAGAAATATATCATGATTATATCTTATTGACTGCTTGCATATTCAAACAAGTGAATAAACAGTTAATCGTAATTGAGGCACCTGTCTCAATAAATGGCACTGGTAAAAGTTCACAACTAAACGATTGTTTATTTTTAATGAAAATTTTTAATGGTAAAGAAAGGTTTCCCCAGAACAGCAGATTAAAACCTAACAAATCTTGACTATCATAAGTCATTATCTATACAATATGCCATTCTGATGCTTAAGTTAAACTGGTTGAACAGTCTATACTATTTATTACTTAAAAAGTTGTTTCCATTAACTCATATTATTCATTGGCCTGTTTCAGGAAATTTTAACTAAAATAAAATCCAAATTTTAGTAAATTGATTGGATAATATTAGATTAATTTTAGTGCTTAGCCAATCACAATTGAAGTATCTACTAAAATTTGGTTGTTATCTTTAGTTAAGATTTGGAGAAACAGGCCCCAGACAATCAGTAGTGAGTCACAATTCTGGTGATTTACCGGTATAGACCATGTATGACAGCAGATTCTAATTTTGTTATATATATATAATTTGGAATTTCATAGACAAATATTCACATTCAAATTATTTTTCATGGTTATTTTTTGGTATTCATTATTCAATGTCAATTAAAACTAAAGGAATATGATCAATTTTTGCCTCCAAGAGGAAATAGGTCTGATAATGCACCAAAAAGAATACAAAAATGATCTGATGAATGTAATTAAATATTCGAACAACATATGAATAACAAGTTAGAATATTTGAATACTAAATTAAGCATTCGCTATATGACCACTATTTGATGATAGGAAAGTTTATTTTTAAGGCTACAATATGCCATTTTATGATAGCAGACTATATTTGAAAATCCATCAAATTTGTGTGATTAAAAACTCTGAATACTTGTGAACTTGGCCTAAAGAATAAAATTTGGTTTTATAAAATGAAAAAAAAACAAGGCAAGGATTCATAAATAGTATAAGATCACAGTCCATTATACTTTCAATACCGCGAAGGTTACTGTTGCTGTGGTAACTGTTACTATGGTTACTGTTGTGAAGGTATATTAAGAATAGCTTTAGTAATACCATTAACAACATCTAATGATTCATCCTCCACTATAACCACATCAAACTTCTCTTTATATAAGTCTAAACTTTCTTTCACCTGTAAAAACACAAGAACATAAATCAAGATTTACAAATTAGTTTGAGTATCTAAACAACAAGATGAATTATGTGCAGGGCAGAGTCGCCTGCCTAACTTTGTGGATTTGCACTGGGTACCAAGTTCTTTAACATTTCATGGCCTCTACACTAGGTTCCTGGGATCACGATGATTGCCGTCTGAACATAAACAGGGGAAGCTAGCCGCCTGGAGAACTACAACTTTGCTTTCTTGGATTATCACCAATATTTCACCATGTGATCATGGTGCTAGTTATACCAACAGTTTTTGTCTGGTCGTCTAACTTCTGGATATACATAATGAGCTTAAAAGCCACAGACAGAAAACTGGCTGCTTACCGAGGGCACTACAACATCACGTCATGTTCAAAGACATTTTTTTCTTTCCAAGCACCACTGACAAGGGGAAACAAAATTAGAAAATCCTGGAAATCACCAGGATTGAACCCGGCACCAGCCTGCTTACTAATTTTTTTTTTTTTTCTTTGCTTAAATTGTCAACTGATGAACACAAATTTAGTAAATCAACATTGTCCCTATCTACAATTTTAGCAAAACACATTTCTTACACAAATGCACACAGCTTTAAAATATATATCTAATTGTTACCTTTTGATTTAAAAAACCTATTTTCAACAGATTAGTGACTTCTGCTCCTTCAACCATATGTAAATCACCCAATGAATCGCCCAATAATAGTATATTATCTCGATGATTTAACCTCTCAAAATAATCTGACGAATGGATGGCATTCTCATTTTTGTTGTAGATGTGAATAATATCTCCCTTAAAGCCTATCATTTTACCCTGTAATAAAAATGGAAACAAATTTTAGAACAATGGCCACATCAAGGTAGAAGATGATTTTAAAATACAGATTACATGAATTTTAACCTTTTCTTATACATGTATTTAACTTTTCTTATTCTCGGGTTATGTTCCACAGGTCTCCTTTGGAGCAAGGGAGATTACTCTTGCATTCAGCAACAGGACCTTTATTTAAAGTCTGTGATCCTTCCAAGACTTCCTCCATGCTTAAGAGTACTCAAATGGACTAATTAAGAAAAACAAAATCAAAATATCAATGGTAGATGATTTCCCAACGTGGATTCAATCATCAACCTCATGGTCCGAGGCAATTAAGGTATTGTTAGAATACTGTTATGGATTCGTAACTGTTAAATTACATTTCAGTTGTTTAAAAAAGAAGTAAGGTAAAGCTTGGAGTTTCGATAATTAATTATATCATTTTTACATACTAAATAAATCAGTAGCAGTACTTTCTGGATTATCAAAATCATTTAAAAACTTTTATCCCGTTATCAAAATCATTAAAAAAGTACTTATCTCATTATTAAAATCATAAAAGTAGTACATGTAGGTGCAAGTACTTACCGCATTATCAAAATTCATATAATTTGAGACAATTTTCATGTTTTCATACATATGAGACTGTTGTTTAATCACTTCTTCTATAATATCACCAATACCAGCTGAGAATATCAGTAGAGGTATTTCAAGTTTGTGAAGATGATCAATAAACCATTGGCAACCATCTCTACAAAAATAAAATATATACATATCAATACATATCAAAACCAATATGGGGGATTTTTCATAAAATCAACATTTTACTTTCTATTCATTGTCTTTGAAAAATAATATTTTTTGCATTCTAATATCAAAACATTTTACTTCGTATTCCGCACACGTTTGGTTCCAATCATCTTTGTTTTCATTAATCTATCATTACACTACATCAGGGCTATATTGTTACTCTGTCGTAAGAGCCCTTCGACGGGGATACTTTGACTACAAAAGCTTCCATATAACTCTATTCTGGGCCCTCCCAGCAATTCTATCATTAGGGATGACTTGACTACAAAATATTTCTTATAACGCTTGTAGTTAGTGTCCGTTGACTAAGCTTCCCTACAACTATGTCATTAGGTATTAAATTAGACTACAAAGGTATCCTAACAACTTTGCCACTAAGGGCCCTGTGACTACAAAGACTTCCTTAAAACTATGTAATCAGGGACCCTTTCACAACAAAGGCTTCCTTATAACCCTGTACCTTTGACTACTATGCGCAGGGGGGCTTTCCTGTGGGAAACCACCGATCACAAGCCAAAGGTGACTGGCCAGCTAGAGCTCGAAGCGCAACACTTTAGATCACTACGCCATCCCGACCCCGCCCTCATATAATCATCTGTTTATATTAACTATCAAAGCTGAGGTGTATTAATTTATAAAGCACCATGCAACATATTTGTAAGCAAATATACATGCAAATTCCTTCTATAAAGGGACGCTTGATCAATATACATGAATGATTGAAACCATTAACCCTTTTTCTATATACCAACACCAACTAATAGTCTGATAATAATAACCTAAAAGCAGTGAAAATGATTTTTTTTTTTCAGCGGGAATACCCATGCACCCAAAATGACATGGTTACCTTAAAAATGCTGATGAGTCTCGCACGATATGTTCAATATCCGTTTTTGTCAACTGACATTGCGTGAATAATTCGTGGGATTTCTGATACCTGGATGATCGAATAATAAAAGAAGATGAAGGATGAATTAGGATGAAGAATGAAAGGTAAATATTGATATATGTGTAACCATGTTTACCTCAAATGTGCGGTAGATTCTGCAACCATATTTTTAATATCAACCTGTGTCACACTACATTGGTTCATCAATTTATGTGCATTTGTCCACCTTTACATATAAACATCAATATAATTTATCAATAACAAAAACAGCATTTAAATTAATAACGGTGCGACAAACAAGCTACATGTAATATATGTCCCACATTATTGGTGTGATCGACAAAACAGTTTTATATTGCCTCACATTAGATTTCTGCTTCAGGTATAAGTTTAAAATTCAAGAAGTAGTTATTTTGAAATTTGCAATTTGAATATCTGCTATATTTACATCGCATAATACTGTAAACTAAAATGTGAATTATTAATTTTCATGTCTGCAAAAGCATTTTGTGTTGCAAATTACAATTGTTGCAAAGCTAAATGCAGAGCAAATTGCAAAGCTCGCTAACTGCTCATTCTGTACCTTGAATTAAAATGCTAATGGAGCCAACAGATTTCATACTTCGTAAGCTGCCAACCTGACTGATATTATAGGGAAAAACAATCCCAAAAGCTATGATCTGTGTAACGAAACATATGCCTACTAATAGATAGGTCGTTCTAATAGTTATGAGCTAAACAACTTATAAAATTTCAAAAAACAAGAGTTGAGAACAAAGCAAAATAACTCTCAGTGAAAGACATTATTACTGAAAATAGTTGAAAATCAATAGGATTCTTCCTTTCAATAGGATTCTTCCTTTCAATAGGATGTATTGAATAAGGTAATGATGGAAAAATGCTGAAAATCTATACGGTAGGTGTCTTTTCAATAAAATACACGAAAACAATCTTTGTCAATTTTGATTATTATGGATTGTTGTCGCCTCTCTAGAGCATTTACAAGAAATGTTAATGGCAGACTGACGGACGAGGACCTCTTAACAAAGACGCATACTGTGGTAATTATCATTGAAAATCAATGAAAATCAATTTTTTTTTTCCTCTCAATAGAATACACAACGAATTTATATTTCAAAAAGACAGGACCAGAATGAAAGCCACTAAGTTAGTTGCCAACAAGATATTGTAAGAAAGGGGAATAATTCTGAAAGTTATTATCATAAACTGTTTTAAACCAACAGACTTCAGGTTTTCAATACAGTAGTCAAACCAAAATATACATTGATTATTGTAGCATTTTTTGTGCTCACAAGAAATCTGAACTACAGACCAACAGACAGAGTGATGGCATACATACAACCAAATTAAAATGTGGGCATATAAAAAACTACACTTACCATTCTATCATTTTGGGTGTTTTTTCCTGAATAGTCAGATCATGGTTCATCTCTATAGGATAATATGTATCTCGTAAAACTTTCGCCTAAAAACAACAAATCAAATATACATTACTAACATTGTATTAGAATCATGACGAGACAAATATACTATATAATATGATCTACAGGTGAGTACGATTCTGGCTCACTAACCAATGGTCCTTGGTTAGTCCCTGATGGTGGCTTGATCAAGTTGCTTAGGACGTTTCTGTCTGGTTCGAAAATCCAAGATCCCATGTATACCCTTGGCAGCATGCTGAAGATCATCTATCAGTTGGAAATTCAAATAACAAAAAAGAGATTGTTTTTTTTTTACCTTTTCTTTATAGAAATCTGGCATGACTTTACTCTCCTCCAACACATCTAAAATAAAAAAAAATGAATCATTCTGTAGGTTATTCAATAAGTTATAAACAAAGTGAATATGCATGTACCATAATACAAACTTTAAATCTTCTGATTGTTATTTGAGGGAGCTATAAGTTCCCCATTTTTAAGTTTTGGAATTTTTTTTAAACAAAACAATTGCCCATAGGATTTAAGTGACTATTTATCAAGACCCGAAAGAATTAAAAATTCATTTACTCTAAGTCTGTTCTTTTCACCTGGTTAATAAAAGCAAATAAGTAAATCAATGTACTTACTGTGACAAGTAGAACAGACTTTACCCTTGTTGGTAAATTTGGATAAAGTTCTATCAAAATCAGCTACAACCTAAAATCATAAAACATTTCAATCCATAAATTTATGAAAAAAAAAACCCAACATTGCCTGACAGTGTGAATACATTTCTGTGCAAATATATATGTATGTATGGATCAAATAAATTCTGCAAAATTAAAACTGAAAATTTTAATTGAATTGATCTCAAATGAACTGATCTCACTTTTAATTGATTAAATGTACCTAAAAGCTTAACTTAAAAAAAAATCCCCAAATTTTCAATTATTTTAAGTGAACAAAGGGACATACATAACCCAATATAAAATCAATGGAATCACGGACTTGATCGGTAACTCTGTCATATACAGAGCTTGACAGTGTAATAAATTTTAAGAAAATATCTTGAAGTTCCATTTAAAATAATTCCAGAAAACATAAGTGACAGACAGAGACAAAACCTATAACCCATACATGTAACTCTGTCAATGATTGATCATATATAATCTTAAACATGAAGACTGTTTGTCAATATCATTCATGTCTTCTCTAACCTTATATTTGAGTAATTAGTTCCCAAAATTAATATATATTTATTATATAGGCGTACTACAACTGTCCAAATTGTGTTAAAGTCAAATGATTTGGTCACAATAAAATGGAGAAAAGGTAAGGATGGACAACAATTTACATGCTTTTATTTATAGTAGAAGTATCTGAAGTGCAGTAGGTTATACATGTATACCTGTAATTTCTCGTGTCCATCATTAGTCATCTGCTGTATTGTTTTCTTTACAAATTCTGGATCTTTCATATAAACATGACTCTTCGAGAGTTCCTCAACCTGAAATTCATTCAAAACACGTTAAACATCCAACAACTATCATTCAAACAATCAATGAAAACAACCATTAACCAAACCATTTTCAATGATATGACTTCAATTTGAATTTGAATGTTTGAATACACTTAAACAGTCCACATTCCCATTATCAGCGCCTGCTATAATAGGCTACACTGGCTTCACTTTTAAGTCTTAATATTAAATTCTGGCATCAATATAACTCTGAGCTTTGACTATTTTACTGAACCTCACTTGTATTACTACACCATAAATGCATATTATTATCAATATGGCATGAACATTAACCATGAATCACCCTTTGACTCTTGCCCACTAATACATGCTGACCATCAGTATTTTAAATGGTAAATTTCAGATTTTCAGGGGTAGTAACTACACATAAAACTGACAGGGAATCGGAATTTCAATAGGGTTCTCTTAGGACTACCAGAACAATCCCAAAATGTTTGAGAAAATTAAAAACCCAAGATATACGCATGGACCGACCCAAGGATGGACAGAAAAATGTCAACAACATATTCCATGACGTGTGAGCGTTTTATAAAACTGGTTAATTGAAAACACCTTCTTATTCATGTGCAATTATTTGAAGGTCTTTGAAACTGTCTTTAAAAAAAAAATGCAAGCAGTCTGATAATTTTCACTGGTTGGCAATCAGTGTTTACACTCTCTGACTGCATACACAGAACTTAACTTGGTAGACTTGTTTTTCAAGTCACAGAAATGCACAATGGAAGCTAATACCATATCTGAGATATTTCATCCTGTTCAGCAGCTTTTGCAATCTGTGTCACTCAAAAGCTTAACAAATTAAGCTAAAATGTTTTTTTAAGCCAAGAAATTACAGTTTGGTGTTCTACAGAACTCACTTTAATGTATATCACAACCACCCTGTTAACCTTAGCTTAAGATTTCTCTTTCTCAAATATTTCTACAATCTCTATAAAAATTACAATTCTATTAAATGTGATGTCCTGATTTGTTTTTGTGAACTGGGTATCTGTCTATCTTTAAAATTGTAGAACCGCACATAGAAACAATGTTTAAATTAACAGATTTTCCACTGAATTTTTTAAAATGGAAATTTAAAGATGCATTATGTAAGAGATAAATCTGCCTAGTGTTAGTCAAATTATTATATAGACATTTATTCACATAATTAACTCTTTAGGCCAACAGTTGGCTTAGATATTAAATGACTTAGAACTCTCTTGCCATTTAACAATTCTAGGATAAAATGGGCAATCGAGACTTTGTTTATTATATTATTTGTGCAAGGCATTTAGTGACAGGAAAACATTGAAATAACACAAACACAACTTTATGGATAATCATTTAGTTTACATGTAGTCGAAGTCCCTTTAACGTTTATAAATAACCTACAAAATTACTTTTTGATGTTCTCATATAAAACATCCAAAAAGAGATTAAAAGCCTCTCAAATGAAGAAAAAAAACCCCTATTTACAATTACAATTTAAAAGGTTTCCATATCAAATACATAAAACAATCAAAATGAATATGAAAGCCTTTCAAAATGAAAAAAAAAACTATTTAAAGTAGCTAAGTCTCTAACTCAATATCATCCAAAATCTTCGACATTGAAAACACAAATTATTTGTGAATTTAAATCAACATTGATGTTGTGATCTTACGGGGAAAAGACGGGCTTCTGATATCCATTAATTAAGACAAAGGGACTTGTAGAAAGAGGCTAGATATATTCCACAAGTCATGTCAAACGGTGATGCCATAATTCTTATCTGGAGAGCATGCACAATAAATACTATCGGTATAGAGTGGAATAACCAGACGCTAGAGATTGCCTTTCGATTGAGACTTCTGGCGTATTTCGCCGAACATAACTGATTAGAAATTGCAGTAAAAACAGAAATGTTTGAATGTAAATCAGTTTATATACATTCACATTACATTATTATATGCGTTGCGACCCATTTGTGTCAATTTCTAGAGCCAAAATATTAGCAATTTAGCTCCTTTAAAATTACAATTCAAAAGCTTACCATATTGAATGTACATGAAGGCATGACTTGCTTACAAAAATTACTTCTTCTGCAAATATAACGTAATACCATTGGTGAGTGTCTCTCATCTGCTGTTACAAGCTACTCTAGTTATATACTGATCAGAGATTTTGTATGTCTAGCTTATGTAATTTAAGGTAAACCAACATGTTATAACATGTTCAACCATCTTCATATTCTATTGAAATTCTTACATAATCTGTCTTCAACAGTCAATCAGAGTATAAAAAGAATTTGATGTTAATAGATTGATTACCAATTTAACAGTGAAAATAAAAGTTAATCTTCTTAGAAATTGATTACCAATTTAACAGTGAAAATAAAAGTTAATCTTCTTAGAAATTGATTACCAATTTAACAGTGAACATGAAAGTTAATCTTCTTAGCATTACCAATTTAACTTTGAAAATGAATGTTAAACTTCTTAGAAATTTTATCTATTAAATCCAAATTAACTACATGTACACTTAATTATGAATTAAATCTGCCTATTGCAGGTCTTTTTCTGGCTTCAAATGCTTTATAAATTGTTATTTGGATATTTTATTTTTATTTATCAACATGACAACTCTCTAGGTCATCGGATGGCTTACAATTTGAATGGATTAGAAAAATTTAATGACAAAATGAATAATCAAATGAATGAATGAAATATGGTTTAGTGACATGCCAGCACCAACTGGGCTATATTGCGCCAAACACATATGGTGAATGTTTCGAGATATGAATAATCAAACATTGTTTATCTTCGCAATGGTATTTGACAATCAACACAATGGTGTGAAAACTTCAAACACTCATAACTTTGCTAAGAATAAGATAATTTATAAATTTGACGGAAATTTTCAATAAGCTTATATATATTTATTTCTCCTTATCCATTTTTAAACTATTATAGCATGAACAACCAGATCTTTATCTAAATCTTACATAATGCATCTTGAATATGAATAATTGCTTTCTGTTTAAACTGTAACTTTGTTTAAATATAAACCTGTTATATAGTCAGTATCGATTCTTATACCCATACTTTTTCTCAACTCTTTGATGAAAATGGGAGGGTATATATACACCGATACATGGCCACTTTTGAAAAGTGGCCATATATCAGTTGAAAAGTGTCCGTGTATCAGTTGAAAAGGGACAAATATAACAAAATCATGATTTACATATTTATTTGAACATCTACAACCCGTTTTGAACATGTTATGGTAAAAGAGTCATCATTTTCAACTGTCTCAGCACTTTTCGAATGTGCGTCACTCTCAGTCAGATTCTTACATTTTGTCTCACATTTCTTTAAATTTTGATATCTAGTCGCACTTTCAGATTTTGTCGCACTTTCACATTTTGTCGCGGTTTATGCTCATCCGCAGCACATAATCCAAATATTTTACTATTATAAATTAATCTCTTGGCATTTTCAACACTAAAAACTTTCACATTTTGTCGCGGTTTATGCTCATCCGCAGCACGTAATCCAAATATATTACTAGTTTAAATTAATCCATTGGCATTTTCTACACTACAAACTTGAGAACTCTACAATTCCAACTCGTCTTCATTTAATAGCTGTTCTTGTTTTTGTATGTCAGTGGATGTCAATACCTCGCGAAGTTAATGAATTGATCTGTGTGGAAATTAGCAAATGTACCTTGCTTATCAAAAAAGTTAAAATCCAATCTTTTGTACTGATCTCGAAGTGTCACCATATTCCTATACAATTGGTATTTTTTCTCGTGTTTGGCAGAATTCGACTCATCTGCATGGCTTTAGTATGGTGAGCGCAAGTGGCTGCTCCCAGTTTCAGCTCTGTGAATTTTCAATTTAAGTACTACAAGTCTAGTTTCTAGATATAATTTTTATAACAGTGTTTTTTGTTAGGATTCCTAGAACCTGTATATTTGGGACTTTTAGCAGAAAAATCTATATTTTTGTTTTATTTGAAGTTTTATAATTGTGCACCCAGTGTTATGGTCATCACATAACAATCACTGAAGCGTGAAACTAGGTATACATTGAACTAGTGACAGTTGTACATGGTATGGCTGTCTGTGGTGATAACAGCTCAACTGATGTCAAGTTCAAGTATTGTAAAGGTGATCTACTAAAACTAAAACACAGTAATATTTTATCCATCCATGATTCTAAATATATAAAGGGTATTACTAGAAACATTATTAAATTCAAACGAACACGAAGGGGATGCTCATCTGGCTTAAAGAGACATAATCACATCCCAGCTAGAATTACTGGTAGATTTCTAAAGTATTCAACACCAACACAAGTAAATGTTAACAATCTTATCAAAGTCAACTGCGACAATAATGATAATCATAATGTAATTACCAGAAGTAACAATATCAAATTAGACCTGTGCCTATTAAACTCTAGATCAGTTAAAAATAAGACATCGGAAATACATGATTTTGTTTGTGAAAATGACATTGATTTATTCGCTCTTACCGAGACTTGGCTAAATTCCGATTCACAAGGTGTGACGTTATCTGCTTTAGTTCCGGAGAGCTACGCCATTAAACACATTGATAGAACTTCTCGTGGAGGCGGTGTTGCCTATATCTGTTGTTTTAAATAAACAAGATACATTCACGTCATTTGAATATCTAGATAGTACAATCTCTCTAAAATCGATTAAAATCAGGAAAATTATTATTTACCGCCCACCAAATCAAAGTTGTTTTCCTCTGTTCATCGAAGAATTCTCAGCACTGCTAGATAAACTGTCTTCATCAAATCTCAAACTGTTAATTGTTGGCGACTTTAACTGTCATGTTGACAGTGCAACAGAACCAAATGCGCGCAAATTTAGTGAACTTTTAGATGCATATTCACTTAAACAAAATATAGACATCCCTACTCATACCCGAGGGCATACTCTTGACTTAGTAATCACCAGAAAAGATGAACTTGCAGCTAATAATGTTAACATTGAGGACAAACTCTTATCGGATCACTACCCCGTATTTTACTCTCTTGATATCAAAAAGCCCCTCCCATTGATAAAGTACATAACCTTTCGGAAGTATAAAACACTTTGCCTCGATGATCTGAAAGACGCAATCAGCAATTCAAATTTGTCAGACATCTTGGAAATAAAATCTGTGAATTTACAGACCGTCCAATACAACAAAATCTTGCAGGATATTGTTGACTCTAGTGTACCGTTACAATCCAAATATATCACAGTGCGACCTGGTACTAGATGGTTCAATGATGAAATTAGGTCAGCTAAACAGCTCCGCAACAAGGCTGAACGTACTTGGAGGAAAAGCAACCTGGTAGTCCATAAAGAGATCTATAAATCATGTAAAAACAGTGTCACTCGACTTATTGAAACAGCGAAAAAGTCTTACTTCTCAGAAAAGATTGAGACCAGTGAAAATAAACAGAAAGAACTTTTTAAGGTAGTCAATTCGCTCCTTGATCTGAATTTCGGTAAAACTACTTTACCTACAGACTGTAATAGTGTTGACTTAGCAGAGCGGTTTTCTAATTTCTTTACCAATAAAATAAGTGATATTAGAACTGAACTGGAAAATAACATGTCTTCTCAACCAACAACAGGCTACTACAATCTCCAATCTGATACCAGTCAAACATTTGATCACTTTAATACGCTGTCCGAAAACGAAATTAGAAAAATAATACAGTCATCAGCCTCAAAGTCTTGTTCGTTGGACCCCTTACCAACATGGCTTCTCAAGGACTGCCTGGATGAACTGCTTCCCAGTATCACACATATTATCAATTCGTCTATCAATGAGTCAGTCTTTCCTGGAGTATTTAAAACAGCAAATGTTGTGCCGTTGATTAAAAAATCGACCCTTGACCCAAATCATTATAAAAACTACAGGCCGGTCTCTAACCTTAGTTTTATTTCTAAGATTCTGGAAAAGTGCATTGTTCACAGTTAGTTGAATACATTGGTGAACACAGTCTTCTTGAAACATTTCAAAGCGCTTATCGCAGAAACCACAGCACTGAAACAGCCTTGCTCCGTGTGCAAAATGACATTTTATGTTCCATTGACTCTCAGAAATGTGTTGCTTTGATACTCCTAGATCTGTCATCAGCCTTTGACACAGTTGATCACACAATTCTCTTAGAACGGTTATTGCGTGATTTCGGAATCGTTGGTCATGCTCATAAACTACTCGAGTCTTATCTTGAAAACCGCACACAGCAAGTCTGTATTGGGGACTTATTTTCTGATAAGAAACAGCTAAAATGCGGAGTACCACAGGGATCTGTGTTGGGGCCTATCCTTTTTAGCATCTACACGACCCCATTGGGCAGAATTGTCAAAAAGTATGGCATCGCATTCCATCTCTATGCGGATGATACCCAGCTGTATCTATCCTTTAGGCCTTCTTCTAACTTTAACCCATCTAAATCCCAGCTAGAATGTTGCATCGAGGATATTAGAACATGGATGTCAAACAATTTCCTTAAGTTAAACGACAATAAAACTGAATATATCATTCTTGGTTCTGATAACTTATTTTCTAAAATTGATTCTGAATGTAATCAAAATGTTTTAATAGGAGATTTTAATGTAACCCCGTCAAACTGTGCCCGTAATATAGGTGCTATCTTCTACAGTCGAATGAGCATGGAAAATCAAATAAATAGTGTGTGTAAATCATGTTATTATCAACTTCGTAATATTGGCCTAATACGTAAATATATTTCAGACGAAGCAACGAAATCTTTAGTGCATGCTCTGGTTACATCTCGTCTTGACAATCTTAACTCTCTTTTAGTTGGTCTTCCTTGTCGCCTATTGCATAAACTACAGAAAGTCCAGAATTCAGCTGCTAGACTGGTTACCAGAACAAAACTGAATGAACATGTTACACCCATTTTGTACACCTTACACTGGCTGCAAATTATTTATAGAATCCGTTTTAAGATTTTACTCTTAACTTTTAAATGTTTAAATGGAATGGCACCTGCGTATTTGTGTGAACTAGTAGAATGATACTCACCATCACGAAGTCTACGTTCATCAAGTGACTATCTCCTTAAACGTCGAACTGCGAGACTATCGACATATGGAGAAAGATCATTCTCGTACCAAGCCCCACTGCTCTGGAATGGACTAAAATGCCTTGGAAATAGGAAGTAGTAGGCAACTAGTATATGTGTCTCTCTTTTGTGGACCGATGTGAGATTGTCCGTTGTATTAACTGGACGGGTAGGCCTATGCACCTTCGGTAATGTGTCAATGTCAAATAAGCGGCTTCTTATCAAGAAGATCGGCTCTGGACCGGTTTGATTCTATGTATCTCTCGTAGCTGAGAAAATAAAGATTTTTTAGGTGAGAGAATATCTTCCGTCAAAATGGTGGTTGATTTCGAGGCAAAAGAAGGAATCACGACCGACCGATTTGATCAACAAAATTTGCCATAACGAGATCGTAAGCAGAGAGTGAGATAATATAAGAGATACGGTGGCTATGAAGACCTGGTTATCCCGAATGTCTGTGCAAATATTCACTTGGGTACATATGGAGGTTTACTAATGGTAGTTCATGTCAGAGTCCTAAATACATGTATTCAAATTAAGGGGAAATAAATAATTACATGTAACCGTAGGAAGCTCACAAGAATTGATTATCCATGTCTGCATTTCAACAGTTTCTGAATCAAATAAACCATTTGATAAACTATTGCATGCATTCTATTATTTCTTAAAAAGTATTTAGTGCCATTATCAGAAAACAATATTATTGAGTAAAACTGGAGATATAACAGAAGGTCAATGTTACAATCTTTTTTTCTGATGAAAATAAGTAGCCCTCCTTTAGCAGTGTAAAAAAATTGTTGATTTCAAATGTTGACTTGTTTTGTGGGTTGACGATAAATGTATCACTTTGTTTTCAATTTTATGTTCATAGATAACGCCAGAGGTTTGATCTCGTTGTTGGCCGAGAAAGCATCTTAGAATTTTTCAGCTTGGTTTTCTCGTGTCGGTGCAGGACAGTAGGCCTGGCAAGGAACAGCCGCTAGTTGTTCTGATGGGACAGAAAACCAAGTTCCATTTCATCCATCTAAACAACTACTTGGTGTTCCTTGCCATGCCCACTACCAAAGTCCTGTGTTCACATGTTGGTGTGTACGTAAAAGATCCCTTTGCTGTTGGAATTCGACAAAGAATAGCTGGAAATGCCACCGTCTTGGTAAAATTTACCTATTAGCACACTGCATAGGTCAAAATAGCTTTTACAAAAATAGCATAAATAGAAAATCTCTCAGACATGGGTTAGTTTTTTTTATACAGGTACCGTACGTGCAGTATACATAAGCAAATAAATGTCCCTAATTTCAGAGCTGGTGGATATCACACTGTAAAGAGCATTACCCATGGGCCTGCAGGTTAAACAACAATGGGCAGTTGCAATGCCAATGCCATTGGAGAAGCAGTGCTGTTGAGCCCAGATTTCATATCGCCACCAGATTACCTGTGCTCATGCTCGAATCTCCGTTTACTAATTTGTGCATGTGGAGTTAAATCTGGCCAGAGTATTTAATGGGCTACCGCAATGATAATACGCCTAACCTACTCAGTATTCACCATGGATCATCGCGTTAGTTTTAGCAAGGCAATACGTAGTTACTTTAGTAACGATGTCTGATAGAGGCTAGCTCTCATCTTTACTGGCTGATCCTATAGACAACTATATGAAAATAAGGCTTTTACCCCATCTTAGCAAACACTAATTATGCAGTGATTTTGAAAATTATTTGAAAAATCACTACAATACAAAGTCGGTTGAGGACAGGTTCTACAATAGCCATCTGACACCATACTTTCATCTTTACTGTGGAGTAATCACCACACCAGTTTGATACCCGCAGATTTTAATCGGCACACGCAGGGTCTAATATGCGCAACATTGGTACGCAGATTGCAATCTGTCCGAGGGGTGAAAAATGGGTCAGATCTAAATATTAAGGTCACCTGCAAATTTTGTCAAGGTCCCGAGATGTGAACAGAGCTAGGGCACATGATTGTTGCCAAGGAATTGAAGGATTGTGGGTTAGGGTTAGGATAAGGGCTAGGTGACGGGTAAGGGTAGGGTTAGTGGTAGCCCGGTTTACATCTCGTGACCTTGACAAAATCTGGCGGTGGCTGTAATATTTAGATCTAACCCTGAAAAATGCGCTCAACATAGTCATAGCAAGGCCGAGAGAAAATTGAGGAATATTAGTGCCAGAACGAATCATAGGCCCTACTATTCATATGAAAACCTGAAAGACAATGAAACAATCTTACCGACACCATCTTGTCAGATCTGGTTTTGGTCTGTTTGCTTTTGATCTTCAACGTATTCCCGGTTTCCAGTATGTTTACCTTGGCTGAACTGAAGTTATTGACAGAAATTTACAAACACAACAATCCATACAACAACTGTCCTTATCTTTTTACCAGGAAACAATCTTGCAAGGGAGATAATAGGTTTTTGTTATCTTTTTTGTATATAAAGAAACAACAACAATATGGTTGTAAAAGGCTCAAATTCTCTTCAGATTGGTAATCAATAAACTTCCAGTAAATAAATATATATTATATATAAAGTTATACATCAACGACGACGCGAATGGAAATAATGGTACTAAAACTAATACAAGGGAAGCAACTCGATTAAATTATTAAATGGAGTTACCTCCCTTATATTTATAAATCTCAAAAATTATATTTTTGATATTTTAATGACCGACCTAATTATTTCTTAAATAAAATTCGTTATTTTGTAAATAGACCGGCACTTAATAAGGTTTTCTAGTATTGAAATAAAAGTTATTCGTAATATTCGTATGAATTAATATTTCGTTTCATGTCTTCTACGATCCGAATTTTTGTTGCAAAATATGTCCGTGTTATTGTTTATAATAATATGATAATATTCAGATTTTCATTTCATTCTATTTCAAGAAGTACCCTTTTTACGGGAATAATTCCATTCATTTACATGCTGTAACTGACATTAAGATAACGTTTTATGGTACCGTAATACATCGGGAAATTGTCAGTGGTGAGTGTGTCAACAAAAAGCCTTTTTTTTTTTTAAACTGGTAGAAAACTAAATCCAAAGATACATCTCTTTGGTCAGCAGTGACAGCAGAAGTGAATTTGTAAGTATGTTTTGAAGTAGAAGCCCTACACATACAGTAGGCCTTATCATGATTGATCACAATTCATGTGGATCTAACTTTTAACTTATATAATTTTTATGTAGGTGTAGAAAATAGCCTATATCTCTTTCAGTAGGTCTACTGCTATTTTAGATTCTCCAGCATGACAAACCTGTAATCAACACTTTAGACAATCAGATGGATGAGATTAAATCAAAATGGATTAGAACACCTGTAAGATTTATTGAGACCTAGCTACTAAGCTAGTCTCCGTGATATGTCATATATCACACAAATTTTCAACCATCTGAACCATTCGAAACCGAGTCCAAAACGTCGTCAAGTAAATCCGAACCGTCGTCAGACTGTGTCCAAAAGGTCACCTGTGTTGAGTCCAAATAGATGGGGGACCGAAACTTCGCTCAAAATTAAAGTACCGTTATTTGAATGAAATTTTCAATATATTCATTTTTCATTATTTGTTTTTAAACTGTTATTGCAAAAAAAACGGCTTATTCTTATATAAATCTTACATAATGCATTTTTAAATTCCTTAAAAGAAAATTTCTATATACCCACCTTGGATTGACCTTATGAACCATGTTGTGCGGCGTGCGCTTCACAAATTACCACAAAAGAATGTCTCTTGTCTTGTAAAATTAGCTTTTACTATTCAAACCAAGTAGCTTAATATCAATTCTGATCATGTGTGATACAGTTGGTTAAGAAAACGAGATTATTAATGTTTCATGAAAGTAATCTGACCTGAAGGAGTTTCAACATTAATTGCATACCATTGTTGCGGTTTGACGTTGGACCTTATCTTTTTTGGTTACAAAAAAAGAAACCTTAGTCTTTACATATTTGCAAGTCAGATAGTAGGCATACGTAATGTACGATAAAGGCGAAATCATAGATATATTTCAGGGAATAAAACTGACTAATTCTGTGTAGAATTCTCTAAGAAACTTTTATTCTTTTTCCAAGCAATTATCTAAAGACTCATGATATACACATGTATGCTTTTAAGTTTCAATGAAATAACAATAACATCATCCAGTTGTCAGGTTAGAGATAACTTTCTTGACTTGCATGCACCAATTCCAACTGTCCTAGTATTTTTATTTTATTGTTTTACACTTCTAGTCAGTAATTGGATATTGCAGGTTAATAATTGACAGTTGTTGTGAAATTATACAACATTTGGACATTGGTATATTATGGACATTGATTACTCTTAAGCTGACGATCATCACACTCTGACAATAATGTGGACGTAGATTGTAATCACCTTCGTCTGTCGTCAGTCATTCTGCAGTTAGTTGTCTGTCCACAATTTTAGACTAGAGGTTTTTATATATATGTTAGTTTTAAATACGGATTATTTATCCTCTTTTTGTTTCAGGTCATGGCTTCATTTGAGAAACAAAGTTCTTCTAATGACGCTGTGCATCAAAAATATCCCATACGCAGATTAGAACATTCAGTAAAGAAATTTGTCAAAGTTTTAGAAATAGATCTGGATAGACTTGACCGTCATCGCCAAAATATTGAAAGGGTGATTTTTTAAATGATTATTTTTTGGATACGCATGTGTTTGTTAACAGTAATTTACATAATTAGATATACTTTTTTCTTATAATTGGGGTTGGATGGCCGAATGGTTTGTACGTGTGTGCTGTATTATAAGGTCTGTCATTGAGTCAACTGGCGTGGTTTCGAATCCCCGGTTGTACGTGACAGACAGTTAGGTCGCCTGTCCAACCTCATGGGTTTTCTTTGGGTCCTGTGGTTTCCTCCCACTGTTAAAGACCCCTACGCGCAAGCGAATTATTTAAATAAGATTGAGCTATGTGTTAGTCCCAAAATGACCTAGTTTAGGTCGAGTGGACGTTAATTAACCCCATTTTTCCCTCTCTTTTTTCTTATAATTGTTTTTCTTAACTGTTACTGTTATGATTTTTGAGCTACCGGTATGTGATAAACTGAAAGAAAGAATGGATGTTGTGCATATTGTTGATGACGTTGCTGCAGTAATTCTACTGTTCATGATTATATTTCCAATATTCAATTTTATACAAAAAAGTGGCCACGTTTTGAACAAAGGTGCTTATTTATATGATAGATTAATTTACACACTAATTAAATCCTTTTTCTAAAGTATATCCACTAGTAAATGATAGAGTTTAGTGATCTACCGGTATGATTAAAGGTAAACCTGAATAATTTTTCTGTATCCTACTTTAGTTATCAATTCAAGAAAAGTGGGTTTTATTAAACAAAGAACAGATCAATTCATCAAGAACAGTACAACAAATCAAAGCAAATATCAGAGAAATAGAAAAAGCTCGAGCCCAGATTGTTGATGAAGATTTACATAAATTTGATGACTGGATTGAAGAGGTTAAATTAAAGGCAATCAAGGCAGTTGAAGAATTTATTTTACTTAGCCAAAGTGGAAGTTCTTCTCCAACAGGTAATAAACTGCATAATTTTTCACACCACTATTGTCAATCATCAGGGGTAGCTCCTACAAAGAAAGTACATGTGTTGTCTAAAATAGTATTGACTTATGGCTCGGATGGGAGAGAATATTAAGGTACATGCAAGTTTTTATTTTAGATATACGTTTCATAGGTTGTGTATTGCACACAGTTGATTATTACAAAGATACTAGATTTTGATCATAAAATAGAGCTGATTTCCTAACAATCCTTTCTCGAACACAGAGCCAATGTAAATTGTTTAAGACTGGAAGAATGGGTCTTTTTGATTTAGTTTTATTGATAGTGTAAATACAATCTGATTAAAATACATAGAGGATATTTGTCGTTTTAGAGTGAATAACATATTTTATTTCATCGAGAAGCAAGAAAACTTATATTTTCACGAATGCGTAGCATGAGTGAAAATATAAACGTTTTCTTGCTTAGAGATGAAATAAAATATGTTATACACTCTAAAACGACAAATGTTCTATTTATTGTATGATTTTACAATCATTTTAGGTAAAAACAACATGGACTACTGCTAGCCAGTGGAATAACACTTTTATTTCACTGATAAAACGCGTTATTCCACTACTGATCATAAAATAAAGATCTATATTTCGTTTCGTTTTTTATACTTTCGATGGCCTACACTACATGAAGATCTGACAAGTTATAGTGGGAGTTCACATCAGGGGTCAAACGAGCGGCTTTTGACCCTATGATGTCAGACATTGATTAATCAATCAGCATTGTCGTTTCTAGTGGTTTACCCACAGTTCCGTGCATAAAAAGGCCAAGAACTCGCCGTAACAGACTGTTTCATTGGCTAATTCCTCACATTAAGTAGAACGCCTGTTATATAACAACTCTTCCAGATCCTAGTGTAGTAAAGACAAGTAAAACGAAATTTTGAACTATAAAAACAAAACGAAATAGGATCTGTGTTTTAATCAGATTGGTGTAAATAGCACAATATTTGGAATTCTTTGCATGAGTATGAAACCTGTTCATCTAGTAATGAATTAGGGTAGTCAGTTATGGACAGCACAAAGGTCCAAGCTGAGGTTACAGCAGCATCTGAAAATATCTCTCATCTGTAGAACATATTTGTAAAGCTGAACCTTTGGGTACTTTTAGTGGATATAATATAATTATTAAAATGATTATTGGTTATTTTATAATTACAGAAGAAATGGTTATCAATCCTGAGTCGGAAACGGCAGAGAGTTCCAGCTCTTCTTCCATCCAGTATGGCACCTCCTACACACCTGCTTATAATATACGCAGACCAAATATTCCTGCAGATGAAATTTTCTCCTGTAGCTTGCCCAACGCTTCAGATATTTCACAGATTCAGAAAATGGCAAATCCACATCCAACAACAATTAACCCAGAAACAGTTGCATCGTGGGAACATTTACAAGAGGTTATTTGATTAATATGGATTGTTTGTAAGATATTCTAGTTCTCAGATACTGCTGCATCACCTAAAAAGAACTGCATAATCCCTTTTCTATAAGCTCACATTTTCGTGTGGACATATGTTGTCGTTGCCCCTGTCTGTCCGTCCGTCCACAACTGTTTGTGGACACTCTACCTACATGTCACAATTTTTATCCTATTTCAACAAAACTTCAAATATAGGTTTATCTCCCTAAGATCTCGGTTCCTTTCAATATTGGCATGTATCGGACCGTAACTTCATGGATTATGGCCCCTGATTGTATGAAAGATTTCGTTTTTAGTTTGTAAACCCTATAGATGTCACAATTTTTATCTGATTTTGTTGAAATTTGAACTGAAGTTTATAACCCAAAGATCTGGTTCCTTTTGATATTCGTGCATATCGGACCGTAACTTCCTGAATCATGTTTTTTAGATTGTAGACACTATGGAGGTCACAGTTTTATTCCCATTTTAAAAACCGTTTGAATATATCTCTGTTACACTTTAGTGATGGTTGAGTTCGAATTTCGTGAAAATCATACCAAAACTGGCGGACAAAATGGCCGCACCTCGTACGCAAACAGTGTAAAAATATGGTATATCAAGGTTGTGGACCCTCTTGAGGTCACAATTTTTATCGGATTTTGATGAAACTTAAAACATATCTTTATATCCCAAAGATCTCGGTCCCTTTTGATATTTGTGCATTTCAGACCATAACTTTCTGGATTATTGTCCCTTATTGTACAAAAAATCATGTTTGTTTTTAGCTTGTTCTCTATCCATCTCCTGCAAAATGTGGGCGTATCCTGCCTGGTAGCCGCTGGTTTATTTAAAGAAAAGGAAAAAAAAAACATTTTTAATTACTGAATGCTTCAAAGGGGAATAATTCCATTAATCATGTTTTCTTGAAACTGGAAGTTGTAAGCTGACCCAATGTTGTCAGCCACCACGATTCATTCGTTTGCATTATTGTTAAAAAAGTTTTAAAGTGAGATATATATGACAGAAACTTTGGCAATATAAACAGTAAAGTTTAGCTCTTAATTATGTAGGAAAATAGACTGATGATGAGATAAATGTAGAATATTGAAAAGAATTTTTAGAACGTGATCCTTTAACGAAATAAAAACACAAAAATAAAATTGAGGATCGAAGTTGTCATGATAATACTAGTAGCAGAACTGTGTGAAATTTATGCACCAGTAAAAGTTTTGTTTGGATCGGTCCATGCATCTAGAAGCTAGACCAAAAACTAAAAAAAAACTGTTTATGGGTTAGCATTTGGCAACAGTGGTTTAAATATAAACCAAAATGCCAGATACTCAACTAAATTATATGTCTGACATACCACTAAATTTTGGTCATTATCAATGCAGCAGTATCAGAGATATACCCAGATCAACAAAGAAACCAACCCACATAATGACATCTCGACATAACAGTTAAAATCTTTAACTAAACCATGATATTTATTTCTAGTTTTACAATTTCTTCATAGACCAAATTTAAACTGGCCCAAAAATGAATGTAGAAAAACAAGCCAACAGTGAGGCTGATGTCCCCCTCCGAAATCCCAAAATAAATAGATGACACACTTTAATTTATCGCACATTAATATTTTTTTCAAAAGTATCAAGCAATCAAACTGATTATCAACTATACACTAAGTTTCATCACTCTATATCAGATAGTTGTCCTAAAGCATTGACCAATGAAATTGCTTATCTCTCTTTAGCCTAAGCAGAAAATTCTCATTATCGAATTTAGTCAAGGTAATAATATAATGAATCCATACTTGGAGTTTCATCACTCTCACTTAATTATAACAAAAGTTATCGTGCCCCAAAGCATCAACCAATCAGATTGCTTTTTTCTGCTTACAGTAAGCAGACATTGTTTATCATCGAACTAGATCAAGACATTCACCTAATGAAAGCCTACACCAAGTTTGAACATTCTAGCTCAATTAGAAGGAGAGTTACAGTGTTCCGAAGTCTCGGCCAATCAAATTGCTTATCGCTCTGCTTACCCTGAGCAGAAAGTGCTCATTATCGAACTTGGTCAAGGTATTGATGTGATAAAACTATACACCAAGTGTCCCCACTCTCACTAAATTAGAACTAAAGTTATCGTGTCCCAAAGCATCTAACAATCATATGGATTATCTCTGCTTACCCTAAGCAGAAAATTCTCATCTTTGAATTTCATCAAGGCAATTTAGAATTACCTAATAAACTTAGTCATGGTATTGATGTAATGAAACTATATACCAAGTTTCATCACGCTCACTTAATTAGAACTACCTGTAATAGAACTATGTATTTCAAATAGTACTACATGTACATAATTATTTTAGGTGGATTAACCCTGAAAAATTAATTACTATCTGAAAAATTATATATGATCGGTATTGGTAAGTTTAAAGTATTTTAATATATGCAAATTTTAATGTTTACAGGTATTGATGTAATAAAACTATACACCAAGTATTCCCACTCTCGCTAAATTAGAACTAAAGTTATCGTGTCCCAAAGCATCTAACAATCATATGGATTATCTCTGCTTACCCTAAGCAGAAAATTCTCATCTTTGAATTTCATCAAGGCAATTTAGAATTACCTAATAAACTTAGTCAAGGTATTGATGTAATGAAACTATATACCAAGTTTCATCACTCTCACTTAATTAGAACTACCTGTAATAGAACTATGTATTTCAAATAGTACTACATGTACATAATTATTTTAGGTGGATTAAGCCTGAAAAATTAATTACTATCTGAAAAATTATATATGATCGGTATTGGTAAGTTTAAAGTATTTTAATATATGCAAATTTTAATGTTTACAGGTATTGATGTAATAAAACTATACACCAAGTATTCCCACTCTCACTAAATTAGAACTAAAGTTATCATGTCCCAAAGCATCAACCAATCAAATTGCTTATCTCTGCTTACCCTAAACAGAAAATGCTCATCTTCGAACTCCATCAAGGCATTGACTTAATAAACACATACACCAAGTTTGAACATTCTAGCTCAATTAGAAGGAGAGTTACCGTGTCCCAAAAATAGCCCCCTGCTCTCTTCGAAAGTTTACACTGTGATTTCTATATTGTAGGATTTGGTTGATTTAAATACAATGATACATCAGTATTCAGCTGTAGTTCAGGTAAATATCGTCTGTCTTGACCAAATGGTAAAATAATGAATACATTTTGCAAAAACCATGGTTAGGGTGGAGGTTTAGGGAGACATTATATCTGCCATCACAAGATATAGCTGTACATATTTAGAGAAAGAATGAATGCCCAGTACTACAAATAGTAGAGCGTCAAAGTAAAAGAAAAATAGTTCACTTCTTGAGTAAAGTATGAAACTCTGCACAGGGGAACTATGACTACTAAGGATCATTAAAAAAAAATGGACCCCAAAAAATGTCCCTGTGGCTGCTATCATGAATTCCAAAATGGTCACCAAATTAACCTATTTTTGTTCAATTCTCCAATTCTACTGCATTTCAAACAAGATCTTGAGTGTCTATGTACATATTTTCAATATCAAGAAACATTATGCAGGTATCAGAGATTCGGTCAAACAACCGAAATATTAAAATTTGTTATCATCCAAATTTTGCTTTCGAATAAACTTCTGTTGAGACAGCACTGCAGAGCAAGCGTATTTCTACGCTTTGCGTGACTTATCTTTATTGTGGAGCACCTATCTATGGCAGTAAACAAAGTCAATGATCCATTATGGGTCAATACATCAAATCTCAAATATGGTTTTGTGATCAGGTCAGGTTGTAGAATTACATGTATTATTTGATGTTTTATAGGAACAAGAAGAGAAAGTTGATACGATAGAAGATAAAATAGAAACAGCTTATACAGGTGTTCAACAGGGTACTAGTAGTCTAGGACAGGTAAAATATAAACTCATATATAGTTTTCACAGATAGTATTTAGATTAGGCATCCTTTGTTACTTCAAGAGATACTTACAGTAGTAAATTTAAACTTACTCTACAGAAATCAAGTATATAGGTAAAATCATAGGCGCACGGGGAAATTTTTGACTGGGGGGGCGGTGGTGGTTGGTGCCCAAAAAATGTAGTTGTTTATGTAACTGTAACTCGTGGCTTACCGTACTCCAAACAATAGGGAGTTCGAGTCTTAAGATTTCTATTTAATTGCCTAACTATAGACACTCTGAATTTAAATTCGCTGTTAAATTGGACACATTCAAGAACACAATATTTTTTTATACAACTTTTACAAAGTACAATTGTGTGCCCAAATTTTCCCAGCATTTGGTGCCCAAAATGGGGGGGGGGGGGCATAATTATTTTAGGTGGATTAAGCCTGAATATCTGAAAAAAAATGCATGATAGGTATTGGTAAGTTTAAGATATTAAAATATATGCAAATTTTAATGTTCACAGGTAAAATAGTACTACATATTGTTATTTTCAGGCAGCTAAATATAAAGCAGCTATATTTCCAGTAGCTGGAGCTGTGATTGGTGGTGTATTAGGTGGACCTATTGGATTGGTTGCTGGTTTGAAACTAGGGGGAGCTGCGGCTGTATCTGGTGGTGTGGTTGGTGAGTATGAAAAACCTGATTATATAAAACAGTTATTTTTGTATAAGATATTATATGGTTAATGCCAGATGAATGAACGTCAAGCAAACTTGCATTCAAAGAATAACGTAATCATTAAACAGGCATTATGTATAAGCTACATCTGCCTATTGCAGGTCTTTCTTTAGACCTGAAATGTTATCTAAATTATTAATTAGACATTAATTAACTTACCAAGACAATAATCAACTCTCGATGCCATCGGATGGGTGCGATGTAAGTAGATTTAGATTTTGTGGTCGATGATGCGGTTACTGTAAAATGGAAATCTGATTAAAATACAGATCTATATTTTGGTTTTTTTTACTTTCGATGGCCTACACTACATGAAGCTCTGACAAGTTGTAGTGGGAGTTCACATCAGGAGTGAAACGAGCGGCTTTTGACTCTATGACATCAGACATTGATTAATCAATCAGCGTTGACCTTTCAAGTGGTTTACCTTCAGTTCCGTGCATCAAAAGGCCAATAACTCGCCATAACAGACTGTTTCTTTGGCTAATTTCTCTCTTCAACGAAAACACCAGTAATATAACAACGCTTCCAGATCCTAGTGTAGTAAAGACAATTAAAACGATATTTTGAACTATAAAAACGAAACAAAATAGGATCTGTGTTTTAATCAGATTGTGTAACATGGATAATCGAGTCTTTGTTTATTATCATAACAACAGTAGTAATGACAATCAAGGCTAGACTAAAATTGTATGATCGATATCTAGGCTCAGAGTGAAGTAATTGGACTAAAATTTTCAGCATATTCTCCGTTCATTATCTATCTTTTAACTATAATAGCGAGAATTGTCAGCTCTTTATACTTACCTATTGCTACTTTAAAGAGTTTTATGGCAAGAATCCCATTGGGTTCATTTTTCACATATTTTGGAACACAATAACTCTGCTTGTACTTGAGGTAGAATGTTTAAACTTGGTGTAGTATTAGGTGAGATAAGCTATTTAATTTGTCAATACTTTAGAATTCTAATTGTGTGAGAGTGAAGAATCTCGGTGTATAGTTTTATTGCACGAATATCTTGACTAGGTTTGATATTTTTGTTTAATATATATCGATTTTGATTAGTTGATGATTTATAGACAGATAAATGTGCAAGTAATTAATGTGTGCCCTCGATTTATTTTGGGAATTAAGCCACGACACCAGCCTCACTGTTTGCTTGTTGTCCCCCTGCCTTTACAGTTCTGTCTGTAAATGAGGAAATAAAAGCCTTTGAAAAAAGCAGACATGTACTTTTAATTTTCATTAATTGAATCCAGACCCAGTTTTCATTATTTCAAACTTTTTACATAAAAGTAGATCACAATTTTGCTTCGCCTTCTCCCCTTTTATTATTTCCAACTATTTTACTTTACTGTACATTAAAACTATGAATTTCCAGAATTTTAATTATGATTTAATTAATTTAGGTTGACAACATATTCATATTAATGACTACAGTAAATTTCTTTTAGATAAGTTACTTATTGTATGTTTTTAAATTTTAGGGTTTTTTGGTGGTCGATATCTGAAAAAGAGGCAGGATAAAGTAACAGAAGTAGAATTAAATAATCTAAGTGTGACACGGAGTACGTCATTAGAGGATATTTCATCTACAACTGTAAAAAATACGTCTTAAAATTGTCGAGTTTCCATTTTGGAACATCATGATATGTGATATTGTATGAAAGTTGGTTGTGTGAAGAGCTATTCTTCGTTGATAAAGAATGGAATATAGATTGACATTGTGTTCAAAATGTTTCTTAAAGTTCAAGAGGAAACTACTTTTAAAGTGTGGGAATTTGTTTACTTCTCTGTAGAACCAGAACTGACTTTTATTGATAAAATTTTAATACTTGTAGATTTTTCATTATTTGTATTTATTGAAGAATTGTGTTGTTTATATTCCCAAATCAAAATTTAGAAAGATAGATCATATTATATATCATGTTAAAGAGACATATTCACTTTATTAGTTAGTATTTTAAAATAATATCAATAACCTTAGAGACTCGCAATTCATACCAAATGATTGACAGTTAAAATAAACACCCAAAGTATCTGATATATTGTTAAAGTACTGTAAAACCAATATTTATTGAAGAAATGATGAGAAGGGTTGATTAGACCATTATATTAGCAATAGTTTCAGTAATTTATGATATTTTGTATATATGTTTATAAGGACTATTCCATTTATAAATACATTTTGTTGATTTGAAGGGGGGGGGGGGGTCTATAGAAAGTGGCATACTGTCATTCGCATTTTAATGTACTTTTAAGTGGAATAGTCCTAATTAGAAAGAACAATGTTTAACTGCCATTTTTTTAAATCACATTTTAATTTCACTTTAAAATAACTGTTTTCATAAAAAAAAGACTCACAAGTTTTAACTGTCATCCATGACAACAATACATAATGAAAATAATACATAATGACAATAATACATAATGACAATTAAAATGGTCATAATCATAAAATGTCAATATTTACAGAATCATTAGCAGGTTCATGTTACAGGTCGAACATTTCAATTAGAAAAACTGAAATAAAACTGCTCCCTTCTTTGAAAAGTCAGTTGAACCAGCTTTGCCTTATTCTCATTTTGATCATCACTATGTCCAGGGATTGTATTCATAAAAACTAAAATATGTAGAGGATGCAGTCGTTTCATTGGTTTGGGATTTGTACAAATATCAACTCTTGAGCCAATAAAAAGGCAGCTTTCTTCAAAAATTTAGTTCAATTTTTCAAAAGAATAAGGTCCCAGCTGTCTTATTCATAAAATCTTCAATCTCTTACACTGTTGCTATGGCAAAGTGTATATTATTTCTATATGTTACACTGTTGCTATGACAAAGTTGTATATTATGTCTGCATGTTACACTGTTGCTATAGTAATGTTGTATTTCATGTCTACATGTTACACTGTTGCTATAGTAAGGCAACACAAATAAAATAACTTGTTTCTCGGGCACCGCCCGCACGTAAAATTGGTTGCGCGTGCAGTCTATTTATTAGTCTTGATGAAAAAAAATAAATATGTAACGCCCGCCCGCACATCGACAAGCAAGTCGTAAAAAAAATATCCCGCATGTACCTACATCCGCCATACATGTATATCTATTCAAATGTATTAAAACTGATTCAGATGAACATGCTGTCTTTTTTTATCCGAACAATGGCGAAGTTTGGCAGATTTGCCTTTTTTATTGATATCGAAAGAACCTCCATTTTGTATCACGTGATATTAATTACCTCCCCTGATAAACTAGAATTTGATTCGTGTTAAAAGTCATTGGCGACAATATTTCAATCATTCGATCGTAATCGGCTCATTATTGCCGGCTTCAGTCGGTCCTTGTTTGGAAAATCCTATTGATAAAATAATGAACCGTAGAACAGGTTAAATAATTATAGCTAAGAATACGATACGATGACGATAGTCGTCATAATGCATACCTTAGAATCTGGGTCATTATTAGCACATTTACGGTAGTTTCGATAATCCGGAAAATAATAATTGGATTACCGATTTGATGGTTTTACTGACCAGTTGTTAGTTAGATTTAAATAGTCATTCAATATAAACACCGGATAGAACACCGAATATCCTGAGAAACACACCGAATATCCCAAGAAACAGTATTTCCGGCAATCTCCAATACCGATGACACGGTGTGACATGCATTGGTTGGAATTCGGTAAATAATTATAAATAAACCGGCGATACTAGATTTAGTTTTAAATACTGTTTACCATGATTATTATTTTTGATACACCTGGTGAAAGAGGCTTAGTTTTTAAAAATATTGTTGTCTTTATGGAGGGCTATTACATAGTCGTATGGAATTTTATTTTAAACCAATTTCAATTATGTGAATTAAATATGGAAAATTATTTTCCTTTCAGTCAGTGTTCAGTCTCAGTGTTTTAGTAGACTTGATTTTGGGTTTATGTTTTAAGTATGTACAATAAAGTTGAATATAACGGAAAGCAAAAACGTAAACAAGTAATGACTTTCTCATTTAAAAAAAAAAAAAAGAAAGACCGCCCTCCCGCCCCAACAATTTTCAGCAATAGCCAAATTTTATTTTGCACCATCAATGAGTAAAAAAAAAAAAGAAACCGCCCTCCCTCCCTACAGTTTCAGCTGTCAGTTGCCCGAGAAACAAGACATTTATTTTGTGTGGCCTAATGTTGTATTTCATGTCTACATGTTACCATGGCACGGTTGGTTGTATTATGTTGTGTTACACTGATACAATGTCAAGGGTTGTATATTATGTCTATATGTTATACTGTTGCTATGGTAAGGTTGTATATTATGTAAATATACTCAGCCAAATTAAAAACTTGACACTCGGGATTTTTTGGACTAGATTTTTAATATTTGGTTTAAGGCAACTATTTTAGTGTTATGTTGTGCACAGACGACCTTGACATCAACAGAAAGCAAAAATACGTCTTGCCGAAAGTCCTTGACATTGATAACGTTCGTAATGTCACAGTACCCCCCAAAATGAAATTCACAGACTTGGAGAACAATCGGAATAAAGTGTTTAGTAACGGTTGTGGCCTCCTCTAGCGTCTCGTACTGCCACACAACGTCTTCTCATGGATCTCAGAACATTAGTAAACACTACCCATGGAAGACGTCGCCACTGCTCAGCAAGAGCATGTTGAAGGTCCTGCAACGTCAGTGGTGGATTCACTTGCTGACGAACACGTCGACCCAGTTCGTCCCAGATGTGTTCAATAGGATTAAGGTCGGGGCTAAGTGACGGCCAATCCAGGACTTGGACACCGGCATTTCTTAAAAAATTCTGGGTAGCAATTGCTGTATGGGGTTGAGCATTGTCTTGTTGAAACGTTAGTCCAGGCCCACGTCTCTGCATAAAGGAAGAAGAACAGGTTGCAAAATCTGATCCCTGTACTGGACAGCATTTAAGTTCCCTTGGACAACAACAAGAGGAGAACGTCCATGTGCACAAAAAGAACCCCAAACCATGACGCTACCGCCACCAAATCGGTCAACTTCTCTGACGCATACTTGAGCGTAACGTTCACCTCGTCTGCGGTACACTCGGACCCTGCCATCGGCAAATCTCAAAGTGAATCGAGATTTGTCACTAAAGACAACCGAATTCCACTGACTTTGAGTAAATCTTATGTGTCTTGTGGCCCACACAAGTCGGTTACGGCGATGAAGAGGTGTCAATATTGGTCCATTATAGGGCCTCCGAGCTCGAAGACCAGCAGTCTGCAAGCGATTTCGAACAGTCTATGCAGTTACCCTTCCACCAAGCATCTCTCTACTTGTGGAGGTTGCAGTGAAAAATCTGTTTCTAAGATGACGTAATCGTATTGCTTGATCTTCCTGAAGTGACGTCACACGTGGCGCTCCCGCCCTTGGGCGGTCGGCAATAGTTCCAGTTTGAAGCACTCTCATTCTAAGATTAATTATTGTCTGGCGTGAACAATTAAAGGCTCTTGCAACAGTGACCACAGACTCGCCAGCATAGAGCCTACCTATAGCACGTAGACGTTCTACATTTGAAAGGCACGGCATTTTCTAACAAAGATGAAAATAACAATTTTAATTTGTTTTTCCAGTTCAAGTTACGTGTGCGTGTTCAGTTTAAGCAAACTTGATCGATTGACCTCACGAGTTTGTGTTTGCACGTATTTTTCAGGTTTTTCAACTTTATATGCTCAAAAGTCACCTGATCCACGTGACTTTACAATTTTATGAAATTAAAGGCTTCTTACTACTTACTATCGTTAGAAACACTTTAAAATTTATTTGACTTACCAGAAAAAAAAAATTGTTGAAATTCATCAGTGTCAAGTTTTTAATTTGGCTGTGTATATGTCCATGTGTTTTATTGTTAATTATATTAAATACATAATTGTTCTATTTCGATTTTGTGACGTCTGTGAATATTTATGCTATTAACGAGAAATCATGCAAGAGCTAAATCTGCCTATTGCAGATCTTTTTTCTGGCTTCAAATGTTATATAAATTTTTTATTTAGACATCTATCGGTATTCAAATGACAAATCCATAATTAACTTTCTTGGCTTAGAATTAGATATTGTGTGGATTAGACAATGCCGCCATATTTTCATTAAATGATAGGGTTCAAACTCATGGATACTGCCGATTGAAGGACTGAAAATCAAGACTTTTATTATCATGGCAATGTTACTGGACAATCGAGCGTTTATTATCATGGCAATGTTACTGGACAATCGAGCATATGAACTGTCAATCGGTGGGCACAATTTAGGCTATAACTTGCCAAAACTTTAAACATTCATAACTTTGCTCAGAATAAAGTAATTTGACTGAAATTTTCAACATCTTCTTTTTCCATTATCTATATTTGAACTATTACAGCAAGAACGGACAGATCTTTATCTAAATTTTATATCAAGCACCGTGAACCCATAATATATTGGAAATTGACAAAAGTGGGTCGCAACGCATATAATACTATAATATGAATGTATATAAACTGATTTACATTCAATGGTTTCCGTATTTACTCCAATTTCAAATCAGTTATGTTCGGCTAAATAAGCCAGCAGTCTCAAGCGAGTGCAAATTTCTAGCGTCTGGTTATTCCAGTCTACATACGCCGTTTGATTTGGTGCAATGTGTCTAGCCTCGTCCCTCGAGTCTCTTGATACAACTGGGAATGAAGCGCATTATGGTACACGACTCGTGTACCAATGGTAAAATGTTTATTTTGTCTTAAATATTGGATATCAAAAGCCCATCTTTTTCCGGTAAGATCACAACATGAATGTTGATTTAATTTGACAAATAAATCGTGTTTTCAATGTTGAAGATTTTGGATGATATTGAGTTAGAGACTTAGCTACTTTAAGCATATATTTACAGTGTAGTTTGATGGCATCTGCTGTAACCACTAGGCCGTGTTTCATGAAATTTTAACTAAGATAAAATCCAAATTTTAGTGATTTGATTGGATAATATTGGATTGATTTTAGTGCTTACCCAATAAAAATTGAAGTATCTACTAAAATTTGGATTTTTTCTTTCGTTAAGATTTCGAGAAACAGGGCCCAGGTCTAGTTATATTTACAAATGTAAAACTTCAGTGATTATGATTTCCTTAGATGTAAATCTTGATTTTTACCAATTTGTATCTGACAGATTTTCAAATTGGCATTAGGAGTAGTTGTTCATTAAATGTAGAATTGAATTTTTTTAAATCAAGATCCTCTTGGTGTTTATCTATCATTTTAAAATATATAGAGAGATTTTTAAAAAAAATATTTTAGTACAATTTGTTTTAATATTAAATTTTTTCGAAGTTAAACTGCAGGTGCTTTTAGGACAGTTGGCTGCTTACAGAATACAGCAACAAGATCTCAAATGTATTTTAAAACCAAAAAAAACCCCAACAGTTTGATTTGATTTGTCGTTTCTATTGTGATAGATCATTTCTCTGATTAAAATTTGATCTGATGTGTCATTTCTATTGTGATGGAGCATTTCATGGATTCAAATTCCAGAAATGGATCTTTTTTTACTTTTTGATGGAAATAATCTATTGAAATTGGTCGAGTTTTGTAACATAAATTATTTCACTATAAAAAATCAAATTAACTTATTATTTCTCATTATTGGATATTGTAATGCTAGGTGCTACACACATTAAAATGATACAGCTTGCTTGTAGTTAGTAGTATGATGTACAAATGTAGATTCAGGAATTTTGGGATGAGGATGGGTTAAAATCAAAGGCACATTTCCTACTGTACACCAAGTGTAGCTAGTCTTTAAAAAAATGATCATTGATCATCCCCCTCTCAAACCTAAAAAAAAATACACAAAAAAAAGGTCATTTGTCCTTCTAAATGACAAATTTGGTGGAAACATTTTTCTTTTTTTTTTTCATTTAGTCACTTTTAGTCCCAAATCAGCCGTGATAGAATTTTCCAACATATGAATTAAAAAGGAAAAGTAAATTTGTGCATTTTAATTGGATTTTTCATTTGTGTGTGATTTAAGAAACCGATTACAATCAGTATTACTGGGCTATGATTGTTGTGTTTGTTTGGTACAGTCATCTTCACTAGCTAAGGGTGAAGCGAAGCGAATCGTACCCCTTGTCTAGAGAAGATGTGGTACAAGTGTACATAATTTTTATTGTATATGTAGGAGGTAGAATCACATCAATAATTGCGCATGTCTTTCTCAAGTAATTTATTGTTAATCACCTTAGAATTGATCTTCAGCTTTAACTATAATCTTTAATCAATGATAATATGGAATTAATGTGACTAGGTTTCCACCAGAATTGGACTGCAGTAGATCATCCTCAAAATGTTTACACTGATTTGATTCAATTCCCTTGCCAAAGTAAAGAGGAGGTAATATAAGTCCATCTTGTATTAAGAGAATGAAATATGAATATTCAATGTATTTGATAATACTACTAGGTTATTGAATGGTCTAAAGTCATAATTTCTTTATCTTTCTGTAATCTTTATGTGCAATTTTAATTATTATTTTTTTGTTAAATTATTTGATAATAAAATTTATGAAATATGTTTGCATACTTTTAAACTGCTCCACCCATGTTACTCTCTCACAGCAAACCACTTCCAATCTGACCAACGTTTCATCGGAGATTATACAGATATTATGGTTACGGAACAACAGAGGGGAAGATTTCCAATTACTAAACGAAGCGCATATACCTCAAAGGGAAGGAATGGTGGAAATTTTCAAAATACTCATAGACACATGGGCTCGATAAATATTAGGGGGGCAGACCCTGAAATGTCTGAAAAAATTTCGGGTTACAGACGTCAAGGCCCCCCCCCCCCCCACACACACACACACAAACACACCCTCAAAGATAATTTGGAAAATTGGACAGCTGCAAACACATTTTCTTGCTATTCCAATCACTAAATAACAGCAAGTGGTCTGATATAGCCTAACTTAGGTAGCTGACTAACCAACCAACAGTCCATGTAGAATACAGCAACTTCAATGTGGTCCAATATAGCCTACCTTAGGTGGCTTACCTGAATCCCAAACAACCAATCAATCATCGCGGGTTATGGGGGCCTTGCACTCCTTGAGAATATTTTGAAAATTTAATGGCCACGGTGGCTAAGTGGGTAAGACGCTGGATCGCTAGCCTGCAGGTCGCCTGTTTGATCCGTGCATTGGCCGAGAAGGTTCATCGTCTCGCCTTGACAGCTGTCTGGTCATTCGGATGTGACGAAAAACCGAGGTCCCGTGTAGACATTTGCGTGCACGTAAAAGATTCTTTGGCAGTTGGAATTCGATATAAGAGTTGGCCATAGTATCGCTGCCCGGGGCAAAATTTCTCCCATAGCATGGTGTATGCCCGTCTTCATTAGCCCAGCATAGGAGCAGAACAGTAGGACCTTAAACCCCATTTCATTTCATTTTAATCCCATTTCATTTCATTTTAATCCTTAGCTGTAACCACTGGCAACACATTCAAATGGAACAGCCCCTACCCTTGCTAGTGTTCATACTACAAATCATCTCATTCTTTGGACACATGTGTTCTGTTCTGCAGAGCTTTGGATGAAATTGATTGGTGGATCCATGTCTTCCTATCTGCCATTTGTCGTTCACTATGGATGACCAACACCAAATTGGGGAAGAAGACACCATGTTAAGAGATCCATGATGGATATTTGGCATCATCAACCATCTCTACAAATGCTACTTCCTATTCCATCTCTAAGCAGTAATTCTTTACCTATAGGTTTGACCGCCACTCGTTCACATCATCTGAGCAGCCATGCGGGGATCTCACAATACTCAAGGGGGAAAAATGCTCACCAGGGGAAATCATGCATAGTTAAACTTGGATCGGACAGTTTTCGGAGGTTTTTTAACTCGGCTCTCGCAAAGACCCGATTTAAGTCTTTAAATGGAGTTGCCTCCCTTATGGGATAAATAAGTCTAAATCAGTTATATTTTGTTTTTATTCCATTATTCGAACAAATTATTTCCTAATTAAAATTGGTTATATATATATGCTTGTACTAAGATAAAAGTTGGTCGCAATAGTCGGTTGAATTAATATTTCGTTTCAGGTATTCAGTGTCGACAATGATCCGAATTATTGCAACAGGATGTATTACCGTGTTATTTTAATATGAATGGAATTTCCATATTGAAATTCATATGACATGTTATGATATTTGAAGCAGGACCCTCTTCACAGGAATAATTCCATTCATTCACATGGTGTAACTGACATTAAGGTAAAGTTCTATGGTACCATAAGAAATTTAGACATTGCCAGTGTGTCACCTGCAGTGTCATATCATAAAAGTGTTACACGGAGATATAGGCCTATCAATATCTAAAAATACCACTTGGCTCAGCAGTGACATTACAAGTGACGGACGTTAAGTCCTAAAGGAGAAGTCCGACACGTAATAATCATGGTACGGTTATAGGAGTAGAAAATATTTATTTCGTTTATTTTATATTCTCCATTTATTTAGTTTAGCATAAAACCATTTTAGTGCGATAAGCTCATAATTGCGTGTATCCATGTTGCATAATGTTCACAAATTTATTAGGTTATATGTAGTTACCACCTGCATTTTAAAATGCGTGGGTTGCGCAAGGGCATGATGCAAAACCTAATGAGAAAGAAACTTGTAATATAAATGCTGGATTCAGTACAGCGGTAGCGGCTAGCCTGAATATTATTCTTCATTTATTATACGTAGTCGTTTGGGCGTATATAGTCGTCACCCTGTCCGTCCGTCGGTTCGTCCAGCCGTCAACAATAGGCTTGTGAGCGGGATATAAGCTACAGTTTTTGTCGGATCCTGTGGTCATGAGTTCAGATGACGAACCCCATCCATATTTAGCGTTCTATGGCCTTCCATACCAGAGTTATGCCCCTTTTCCCAAAACTTTATGAGCGCGATACAAGCTAGGGCCTATAGTTTTTAACGCAATTTGGTGGGAAGCATTGGGGTCATGAGAGGACGAACCCTATGCCCCTTCACAAGATCAAATAAGCGCCGCTTGTGTTCACAAAACAATAATAAAAAAAATCAAAAACAATTATAACATGCCATGAACTTTATGTCTACTGTGGATGGGGATTTGGACCCCACCCCCACCCAGTGCTTAACAAAAACTTTGTGAACGAAATAGCGGCTACATAAAGCATTGCATGTGGTCCTAAGAGAACAAACCATATCGTGTCAGCGTTTCAGATGTTTGCCCCCTTTTCCAAAACCCTGCTAAAGCCGTTAATGGATTTGTTAATCTGGTCATGAGAGGATAATTCAACGTTCTGTGATTTTTCGCTCTCGAGTTAATCCCCCTTTGCCGAAAACCATGTGGACACGATATATGCAACAGTGCTTTGCATGGCTATCTTCAACGATTGTTGGGCTATACATTTCCACATAGAAATTATTAGGTATATGTCGTGAGTAAAAAAAATTTTCCCAAAAAATCAGGTTTATTTTGGTGTAGATTTACTTACTTACAATATCTCCTTCATTTATTTTAGTTCTCCAGATTAGTTTAGTATACATCTATTTTAGTCCTATCGACGTCTTGTTGATAATTTCCATTGTGCTTTTAGCTCTAAACGTTTATTAACCTGTATTTGTATTATATGTAACTGTTTGTTTCCGTTTGCCAACATATGATGTCAATATTAGCCCGTTACAAAATAATCTGCTGTTCCCGACAGACACAATATGTTTACCGTTCAAAAGTCTGTCGGGGTTTATTTAAAAATGTATCTTGGTGCCTTCAGATCACTATTAATAGATGAACCCATACAGTTGCCTTTGAGATACAATGCCAAGAGCACAACAGGGGCAAATTAGACATACATCTTAAAACAAATAATGGATGTAAATTAGAGAAAAAAGGAATATAACCCCGAAACGTTTGTATAATCTGTGTTCCCGATTGCTTCTGGTATCCCAATCGCAAGTAATAGGGTGTGGATAACAGGGCAACCAAAGAAAAAAGAAATTCTAAAGTGGTTTCCTTCAAGTGAAATCAAGTGTACATAGTCAAACTGGCACGTCTCTATTGGCATTAATACAATGTTCTGTACCAAAACCGTTTTGGAATTGTTGAGTGGCGTCTTGCAATCAAAGGAATATTAAGTGGTAAGATGATTAAAATAGCGTTGACGTCACTGAGAATGTTGTTTTGCAATATATGTCTTTTGGATTAAAAGCGAAGCGTGTAGGTGGCCATTTTCTGTTAATACCGTCTGCAAAGGTTGCATAATGTTCACAAATTTATTAGGTTATATGTAGTTACCACCTGCATTTTTTTCAGATCATGACTTCCTTGGAGAGACAAAGCTCTTATGGCGCTGCACGTTCAGTGAAGAAATTTGGAAATTTAACAGAAATGAATTTAGAACTACTTAATTGTCATCGCAACAATATTGAAAGGGTGACTTTTAAATAATTATTTATTAGATAGCTCATGTGCTTGTAAACAGTAATTTATATAGTTAAACATGCGTTTTTCTTATATAACCTTTTCTGAATTTTTATGATTTGATAGATATATGTGCAGATACACACACATGCAATGACCTATTAACAATGCATATGGTTGATACGAATGCATAAGTCGTAAGGAACTGTCCATAGATTGTTTTATATTTCTGAGAAGAACTTATATGCTGGAGAATTTATACGCTAAATCATTAATATTTTATGTTGCCAGGGAATCTATACGCTAATTCATTAATATTTTATGTTGCCAGTAGTAAGCTTATAAATAATTTGATTATTAAAAGGCAATCTGATTAAAATACAGATTTCGTTTCGCTATTTTATACTTTCGATGGCCTACAGTACACGAAGATCTGACAAGTTGTACTGGAAGATCGTGTTAGCGGTCGTACGAGCGACTTTTGACCCTATGGCGTCAGGCATTGATTAATCAATCAGCGTTGACGTTTCTAATGGTTTACCCACAGTTCCGTGCATGGCATGCCAAGAAGTCGCCAGTAACCGACCGTTTCATTGGCAAATCCCTCACTTCAACCAAGACGCCGGTAATAAAACAACTCTTCCAGATAAACGAAATTTTGAACTATAAAAAACGAAACAGGATCTGTGTTTTAATCAGATTGTGGAAAAGGATAAATTTGACCAATGTTTTTCAAAAAAAGGTCAACTATTACCTTTTCAATTGTATTTAGTAATTGAACTGGAAATACACAGGGAACAATTCTATAGAATATAATTATTTATAACCAACTTTTCGACTAGGATTATCAAGCAATAATACAATACAAAGAAGCTAACAGCTAGGATGTCCACCGCCCAATCCCAAAATAAATAGAGGACACTCAATAAGTACTTGCACATACATAGAGCAATCGAAGTGCTTACCATAACTCTACTTAACCTGAGCAGAAAATGTTCATTATCCAACTTACTCAAGGTTTTAATGCAATGAAACAATATACCAAGTTTCATCACTGTTACTGTATTACAATCAAAGTTCCAAAACAGAAAAATACCCTAAGCGGAAAATGTTCCTCATCAAACACAGTCAAGACATTCGCCAAATGAACATGAATGCAAAATTTGAATATTCTGTCTCAATTTGAATCGGAGTAACCAAAGTTCTTCCAACGCACATGAACTCTAAAAATATGATATGATTAAATCAAGTATAATGGGGAAAGTCAAATGTTGTAAGACTAAATTTAAGATCAACATTCATAACAAATAGGACAGTCTACCAATACTTCGTCTTCTTGGATCGCGACAACACCTGCAGCAAAATCATTAGCACCTACAGCTAATTTCGAATTAAAATGGGGTGCTAAAAGAACTGGGCACTCTTCAGTATGTGATAAAGTTTCTCAAATGCCCCCTCACGATAATCGAGTAAAATGTTTCTATCGAATTCATCATTCCAAATGGCATGAATATGTACATTTCCGTTACTCGCTTTTTGAGCGGTATTTGCCAAAATCCTTTGAATAAATAAAAAATGTAGCATCTTCAATATTGTCAATCAATCATCAATCCGTGGGTTCAAATATGTGTCAACTTGTGAAATATTATTCACTTTACGATAATCTGTACACATCCTATAGCTCTTTCCGTCTAATAAAAGCAAACGAATGCCCTTATCCCAAACTGTGTCAGTTTGTGAGATATTAGCTCTTTCCGTTCAATAAAAGTAAAGGAATGCCCTATCCCAATCTTTATCAGTTTCAAAATAATAACCCGTAATCATTTTTTTTAGGAATACCCATATAATTAAATTGTTTAATACCAAACAAGTGCATAACCTGCTAAAAAAAAACACCCGACATAAAAATTTGAACCTTGATCTGACCTTTGGAAGACCAACACGAATTAATAACTTAACTTAAACAATTGTCTTAACCCATATATTTCTTAAAGTTATAACTTTGTGGAATCGTGAAGCGACAGACAACGTGTACTGAATACCAGGTCTGGTCTTAGACAGGGGACCAACACAGTCTATAATAATGCGACAAAAACGTTTCTTTCAAAAACGGGGACTGGTTAATGAGTAGCCTTAGGACTAGACTAATCATATTTCTCGACAGCTTGAAAAGGTGTGACAAGAGATATATTCAACAGGCCCATAAACCAGGATGACCAGTCGTTGGGGTATCGTGAGCCATACTTTTAATCTTGGAACAATAAACACGTGGAACAAGATTGTGTTCCATTCGTCACCAAACGGAATATCTGCTATCATCTATTGTATTATATTTTTCATGAAGGGCAGGGTGGTAGAAAGGCTCCCACAGCCTAATCCTTTACCCTTCTTAAATAAAGATATTATTTTTATTATTATTATCTATGTTCGCATTATAATACCATTTTGACAAAATAACCAACAGGTTCCTGCATATTACCACCGGTCTTTATGTTGTTCATTGATTAGACTCGGTCCAGATATATCATCGTACTCACTAAATTAGGTGACCTACCATTTACACTAATAACATTTACACCCATACAAGGATCAGCTAATATAGCTCCAGTATTATCATTATCAACGCAAACTTTTGAGGTACCTCGATCCTTTTCTTCTGTCCGCATAAGCAGGGTACAAGACAGGAATAGCCTGTTCAGTTCGACCATCTTGGTCCATACATGTACTAGGCTTGTCAGTTATAACTGGATTTTAAAACAATTATCTTGCACCAACTAAAGCAATACAAAGAAGATGAACATCGTTAAAGGGTTAAAGAAGATCTAATGCCAAAAATCCCAGGTCCAAGATTCTACACCCTGAGTAAGTCAACGAACTATCTTAAAACGACACACTATCTGCCAACAAAAGAGACGCGTGTGCTCCAGTATCCCTCAAAATCTTGAAAATGACACAAAAGCACCATGAATGATAATCATATCACAATGTGTCGTAACCCTATAACCTCAGTTAATTTACCAAACTATGAAAAAATCTGTGTCGAGGCAAAACAAACCTGGTCTTATAACAGCCCGGCATGGACCACTTTCTTACAATATTTACAAACATACTTCATACATGGGAGTGCTTGTCACCCAACAGTTTGAATGTGAACGCTGATGAGACTTTCGAAAACTTAGAATGTCATTTATATTTTGAGTTTGACTAGATTGGCGTGATTTTGACTGCTTTTTGAAAGTTGAATCGAAAAGACTGACTTAAGTGTGACTTTCCCTTAACTGACGCTCTATGGGTCAAAAACAAAACGTCAGCTGAACGATCAGCTTGATTAAAAACATTAAAAGAAGTTTTAACGTCAAAGTTCATTCAAAATTAACTGCCGTACACATTCATGATAACCATGGAAGCACACCATCTATCCAAAAGTTGTTTTGTTATAGAAAATTCCAGAATATGTCTGAATATTTTCTTTTTCCATCATTTTGCAGTTTTTGTCGGTATACATTTAATACCAATCATAACCCTGAGGAATTAATTAATGATCTGATAACTGGAAATAAATTTCACGAGCCTCTCCTTTCAATCTATTTTATAATAACATGGTACAAACTTTTTTGGCCATTTAAGATTTTCCGCAATTATTTCAAATTTTGGGGATCATTTTTCATGCAAAAAAGACAGGGAGTAAGTCGCTGGCTCACTCACTAAGGTGGTAAAAGATTATATCTCTATGTGGGACTAGATGTTTAAGACATTAAACCTCATTTCATTTGACAATGAATAATTAATTAAAACAATATTCATTATTAAAATGAGACATTGATCATCTTTTTTTTATCCTGTTTAAGTTATCAATTCAAGAAAAATGGACTTTATTAAACAAAGAACAGATCAATGCAACAAGTACAGTACAGCAAGTCAAAGTAAACATTATAGAATTAGAAAAGGTTCGAGGTCTGATTAATCATGACGATTTACACAAATTTGATGCCCATATTGATGAGGTTAAATTAAAGGCAATGCAGACAGTGGAAGATTTCATCTTGCTTGGCCGAAGCCGAAGTTCTTCTCCAACAGGTAATAATGTAATAACAAGGCTTTCATTTCAACATTTTACCAGCAGGTCAAGTTTTGACGTGAGAACTGTCCTTCCGTTCCGCCAACAAATGACTCGTTAAGCCAAGACGTTCTTAACGCGATAGAGGTTACAGTTTTTAATGGATTTTGTGTAGAGCACTGTGGTCATGAGAGGACGTTTTAATGTTACCCCTCCTTTTACAAAAAATATATAGGCTGCAATTTTAACAGTTTTATTTTTTTCAAATTTGGCGTGAATGATTGTAGTTATCAGCTCAGGATGAACCCTATCAAAGTCCAGCGTTCGAAGACTTTCCTTTCCGCAGTTTCCTCCCCTTTTCTGAAACGTGGTTAGCGTGATAGAGACTACAGTTTATAACAGGTTTTTTTTTCGAATTTAGTGAGAAGCATTATAACTGTGAGAAGAGGAGCCCTATTGATTTTCAAATTCATTAGATTCCAAAATACTTATTTGATATTTAAATTGATATTTGAATATTTTAAAATATGTAATTAAGTGAACACATCTTACAGGATTCAGTGATGCTTTACGAATAATTGTGTTAAAATAGCAGTGTTGTAGGTTTGTGCTATGTCAACATCTGAGTTTGAAGAGTTAATGAAATGAAAACGGGATCTATTGATGACAACTTAATTGATGACAATTTTGGCGTCGGTTCCGGATATAGTACCTAAAAAAGACTTTTTTGGTCGCTTTGGGGGTGACTGTCAGATTTTCCAATGTTACGGGTTCGTGATGGAGTCCTTCCAAATTATCCATCATCTGAAAGAACGAACCACGTAAAACACATGGATCATACTTGTGAAGCTGAATCCTTGGGTACTTCAGTCATACCCTTAAGATGGTACATGTATTATTCGTAGTTGTATAATTTCAGAAGTACCGGTAGCGACAGAGAGTTCCAGCTCTTCTTCCAATCAGCACGGGATCCCCCACACTCCTGCTTATAATATACACAGACCAAATGATTCTTCAGATGCACTGACACCGACCATGACAGATCCACATCCAGCATCAATTAATCCAGAAACATCTGCATCGTGGGAACGTTTACAAGAGGTTATTTTACTAATTATTCCAAAGATATTATACAAGCATTTGTTTCCATACATATATTATGGGCATGATTGGGTGACCCATATGTGTAACCCATGAACTTTTTAAGGGTTAGTCTGGCGCACTAATTAAGTAATATTTGATAAATTAGTTTGTATCCGAAATCATTTGTCTCAAATACATGAAATGCACAATTTTATTAAAGTATGACTGTATTTGGCCCTAACAGTCAAAACTTTGTAACGTCTGAAGACGACTAATTCTCATTTGTTTGTAGACAATTTTAGTTACCGAGTATAATTTGAAAACCAGTAATGTCTGACACTTGTTTCACGATAGGTTTTTGGTCTTGCACTACTAGACTAATTCTAAGTTGATTAGGAGAAAGGTCGCCTGCCTAATCCGATGTGTTTTCTTTGGGTACTTTATATTTTTCCCACTTCTAAACACTTCTACACACAAACCTAACAAAAATCTCCCTCGCTCTGTGTATTCCCTTTTCATTCAACTTCTAAAGACCTTTGCACACAACTCTCTCCCCCCCTCTCCCTCTCTCCCTCTCTCTCTCCCTCTCTCCCCTCTCTCTCTCTCTCTCTCTCTTACAATGTGATTTCTGTATTGTAGGCTTTAGTTGATTTATTTTCCACGATACACCAATATTCACCGATAGTTCAGGTAGGTAATTTTAATTAGCTAACCCTAACCCTTTAAAAAGAGACATTAGCGCTTTCGAGGTCTTGACTATTCTTTTACATCATGCCTGTTTAAAATTAAATTGTATGTAAACGTGAGACCAATCAGTTAAGCCCTTGATAAATTATCAGTTGACGTGTACGTAAAAGAACCCATGACAGTTGGAATTCGATATGAGAGCCGACCGTAGAGCCCTGATTTCGGACTAAATTTCCTTTATAACAAATAGTATGGCGGATGCTCGTCTTCATTAGCCCAGACGGTGCAGAACAGTAGGACGTTAAACCCGATTTCGTTTCATTGCTTTTCCTTAGATTTTGGATAATTAGACGAGTCAAAGTTTATTTTTAAGATGATACCAGTCAACCTTTAAACAATATACATAAAAACACATCAGATTAACTCAATTCAATACCTTATTTTGACCTAGTTCAAAGACGGTAGCTCCATTAAATTGATACCATTTTTTAAAGAAGTTGAGAGTTGTTTAAAGATGCATTATGTAAAATTATTATGGAGTTAAATGTTATATAAATGACTATTAGGCATTTTTGCGCATTGTAAGCACATAATCAACTCTCTGGACCATCGGAGGGCTTGAATTTTAATTGGATTAGATCTTCCACTCCAATTAATCTGTTAACGAAAAAAGTGGAAAATCGGGACTTCATTTATTATCGTAGCAATGACTACCGAGACTACACTGTTTTTGACAAAACTTCACATAATCAACTCTCTGGACCATCGGAGGGCTTGAATTTTAATTGGATTAGATCTTCCACTCCAATTAATCTGTTAACGAAAAAAGTGGAAAATCGGGACTTCATTTATTATCGTAGCAATGACTACCGAGACTACACTGTTTTTGACAAAACTTCAAACATTCATAACCAGACTGAAATTTGCAATATATTCGTGTTTTATTGTCTATTTTTAAGATACATTATGGGAGATTAGATAAAGAGCTGGCAGTTCTCACTATAATAGTTTAAAACTAGATAAGGGAATTTGCTGAAAATTTCAGTCAAATTGATCCAATCTGAACCGAGAATTTAGCGATTGAATTTTGGGCCTAGCCTCGATCATCATTACTAAAGTCTCGATTATCCATTTCATGAATGAAAGTTCCGCAGCAAATCGGATCCTAATCCAGTAAATATCGCAGGCTAGAGATGACATCGAGAGTTCATTATGATCTGTTTGAACGACTCTTTCTCTAAATCTTACAGAAATGAAATGAAATGAAATGGGGTTTAACGTCCTACTGTTCTGCTCCTAACCTGAGCTAATGAAGACGGGCATACGCCATACAGTGTGCCATGAGGGAAATTTTGCCCGGGCAGCGGCGCTACGGCCTACTCTTATATCGAATCCCAACTGCCAAGGGATCTTTTACGTGCACACCAATGTGTACACGGGACCTCGGTTTTCGTCCCATCCGAACGACTAGACAGCTACTCTAAATCTTACAGAACGCATCTATAACTAAAATGGATACGGTGGGTCTCTTGCAGGAACTACTCTTTGTTCTAATTGTAAAATTAATTGTATTATGATTTGATGTTTTGTAGGAACGAGAAGAGAAAGTTGATACGATAGAAGAAGATAAAATAGAAACAGCTCACACTGGTGTTCAACACGGTACCAGTAGTCTAGGACAGGTAAAATATAAACGCATATAGTTTTCAAAGATAGTTCTTGAGATAAAACATCCTTATTTTGAATCCACTGTCAACTGCTATACTGTTGACCCTCACAAAGGGATTATTAGTTAAAAAATTGTTCAATCCCGTTCAGTATTTACAAAAGATATGATGAACTGAAAGTTTTGCAATATTCTGCATAGACCATTTAAACAAGCCAGTGTCATCTATAAGTGTTGAGTAAAATTTGTGATGGCCCTCTTTTTATTTTGATTGAATCTAAACAGTTTATTTTCTTAAAGTAGCTAAGTCTTTAACTCAAAATCATCCAATGTCTTCGACATTGAAAACACAAATTATTTGTCAATTTAAATCAACATTGGTGTTGTGATCTTATCGGCAAACGATGGGCTTCTGATATCCAATATTTAAGACAAAATAAACATTTTACCATTGGTACACGATTCGTGTACCATAATGCGTTTCAACGCCATTTGTAACAAGGATCTCGAAGAAACGAGGCTAGACATATTCCACAAGTCATGTCAAACGGTGACGTCATATTCTGATCTGGAAAGCATGCGCAATAAATACTATCTGTGTAGACTGGAATGATTAATTAATAAAATTTATATGCGTTGCAACCCATTTGTGTAAATTTCTAGCTCCCAAATATAAGCGATTTAGTTCCTTTAATTAAATGTTAAATAATTAATTTGATTTTATTTTACGTAGATTAAGCCTGGAAAACATGCACTATCGGGACTGGCAACATTAAATTTAAAGTATTAAAATATAAGCAGATCATGTGTATAGATAATATAGTACTACTTACTACATATTGTTATTTTCAGACAAATAAATATAAAGCAGCCATATTTCCAGTAGCTGGTGCTGTGATTGGTGGTGTATTGGGTGGACCACTAGGATTTATCGCTGGTTTGAAACTAGGAGGAGCTGCTGCTGTATCTGGTGGTGTGGTCGGTGAGTTAAGTTAAAACTGATTATATGGGTAATGCCAGGTGGATAAAATTCAGTCAGTCGTTTCGCTGATAGCATCCTCGGTATCCTCAGTGTTTTCATTCCGTTCTACTCCACTATACCCTGGGTTAATCCACAGGGTTTCCACGATTTCAAATTATCTGCCCTGGCCTTGATTGTAGATAAGGTCTACGAACCAATCAAGAAACAGTTTACAAACCAGTCGTTTCACCTTTGATTTTATAAGGGTAATTAACCAAATTCATGTCCATTTAGTGAATGATTTATGTAAATAATGTATATATTTCTAATTCATCTATAATTAATTGTATTATCAAAAAATGTAGTATGTATGTTCGCTGATTTCAAATATGTATAACATCTATATGTTTGACTATATGTTATTATTATTACTATTCGTTCTTTATCTGAAATGTTTCATTCTGTTATGTTTATTATTATTGAACTTATACTTGGCAATTTGGTCCGGTCTTCATATTATATAATTTGTTGTTAGTAAGTACGCATTTAGAATAATTTGAACTTCTCTCATTTAGGCTAACAACTAAACTTGTCCGATGAGAGTTACTTTCCTTTGCCAACTTCCTTTTCAATTAACGACGCATGGGATTGGTCGATAAAAATAGCGCAATCATCAAGGGCGAATAATTTGAAAACGTGTCTCCCCCATAGATTAACCCAGGGGTTAGTGGAGTAGAACGGAATGAAACCACTGGGATACCGAGGATGCGCTGGTAGATAGTGTTTTATAAACAGTTTTCATGACGCGAAATCGCGTTTTATCGTACCATGAATGTAAGAGTCGCTTATATCAACGTAATATTATGATCTTGCACTCAACAACTAAAGGAGCAACCAATGGCGACACCAAATGACTTCAAATGTTTTTAATCCATAGTCAATTCAGTACAAATTTGTGGTATTCAATAAAAAGAAAAGTAAAATTAGTGTTTTATTAGATATCGGGCACTTTATTTTGCCAACTAGATGAAATAATACTTTTTGTTTTCACTTTACCCGTCTGCCCGAAAAGTCTATTTGCTCGAAAGTTAGGGGACAGCTGCAGTTTTCCCTATAATATTTCAAAAATAAATAATGCAAAATATTGAAAATTTCATTCTATCAGTAGTTGTAGTTTTGACAAGATGTGTGCATTGATCGTAACTACCGTACTGGTCATTCGAGTACTAGCCTTGCTTCTCCATTTTTAAATTAAATCATTAAATGGTCCAACCGTTCTAATCGACTTAAAATCAAAGCCATCCGATGGCATCTAGAGTTGATTATGGTCTTGTTATGTTAATAAATCTCTAATTAATATTTTTTTTAGCATTTAAGGCCCAAAGAAAGACCTGCAATCGGCAGATTTAGCTCTTGCATAATGACTGTTTAAATCCAATATTCCGACATATGGGAGGGAATATTTATAACAAACAGCTTCAAGAATATGATGATATACACATGTATATCTATGATGCGTGTGTTTTCGTCTCGGTTACCCTTATACCTATCTTGGGTTATCTAATCAGGATTTAAAGCTTCCGTTCACGTGGTGGGGTTAGAGTTAGTGTCCTTTGGTCTTTATATCCCTAGAATAATCTGCTGTAGAAAATCGTGAGTAGAATGTCAAAAGTTGATAGTTGAAAGTAGAAATTCGGGCGATGAAAATTGGAATTGTGACGATATGAAGTTGAAAACTTATAGGTTTTACTCCACGAAAATATTCCTTTTAGATCAGAACTTTCTCTTTCTCTTTCAATTGTATACTTTTTACTTTTGCTCGCATTTTGAACCGGATTTCCCTCCGTATATCAGCATCAAAGCCGAGATTTTCCAATATTTCATGAAACTGCCGATAAAAGGACTGTTAATTAAGAATTAGTCCTGGCGGTGTCTATTCCAAATTATTTTACTTCAAAATAAAACAATGAATTGTGAGAATTTAAATTTTGGTTTAATTGATTTAGTTGTCCAAATATTTATGTTAATGACTACATTTTTATAAGGAGAAATTAGTTATATGCTATGCTTTTAACTTCTAGGGTACGTTGGTGGCCAGTATTTGCAACAGAAGCAGGACGAAGAAGCAGGAGTAGAATTGAATAATCTAAATGTGACACGACATAAGCCATTGGAGGATATTTCATCTACAACTGTACAAAATACATCTTAGTATGAAAGTTGGTTGTGTCAAGAGCTACTGTTGATAAAGAATAGGATATTGATTGACATTATATTCAAAATGTTTCTTCAAGTCCAGGAGTAAACTGTTTTTAAAGTGTGGGAAGGTTTTCTGTAGTTGCTTATAGAACCGGAACTGGATTTTATTAATTAAATGTTAAAGTTTGTAGGTTGTGCTAAAAAGTACTGTTTATATTGCTAAATAGTATACATAAATTGTTTATATTGCTAAATAGTATTGTTTATATTCCAAAATCAAAAAGAAACAAAAATAGACTATATTATATTGTCAAGTAATGTAAAACAAGTATTTATTGAAGAAATGTTGAGACGAGATTATTTTTTAACCATTTTTTAATTAGCATTAGTTACATGACATTAATACAATAATTTTTGTAAACTTATAAACATATTTATTAGGGTTATATCGTTAAAAAGTACATTTTGTTGGTGGGGGTGGGGCTATAAAAAGTGTCATTCCCATTCTCACAGGTACTTTTATCTGGAATAGTGCTAAAATAGTTGGCTTTGAAAATTCAATTTTCAGAAAAGAACAATCCAATGTTTTAAAATTAATATATGTTTTCTCATCTAGAGAGTTGATTATGTGTTCGGCATGTGAATAAATGTCTATTTAATGATTTCTATAACATTTACAATAGTCAGATTTAGCACCCACAAAATGCGTCTTTAATGTATCCTTAAAATTCATAAAATTCCACCCTTTAAAATTGTTGTTATTATTATGTTGTATATAGTGTCCATATTATTATGTTACACGGTTGTTTTTATTATGTTGTATATTATGTCCAATTGTCCATATGTTACATTGTTGTTATGATAGTTTAAACATAATATTTTATTACTTTAAAATAAACGGAATTTTACGGATCGAACAAAAGTTACTAAAACTTACAAAGGAGTCCTCTCCAATACAATATAATTGTCGTAGTTGCTCAGTGAAACAAAGTTATGATAAGGCTAATTATCATTCTCTTTCATTTAACGGTGTATAACTAAGTATTCAATAATAGTACTTAGCTAACTAAGGTCATAATTTCTTTATCTGTCTGTGTCCTAATATGCAATTTTGAGAGTTTGTTATTTTATTTGATAATAGAGTTTATAAAAAAGTTTGAATGATGCTTTACTTGATTTTCATATCTGATCATGAATTTTACTCTGTACATTTGAATAATACATTGCATATATTCCCACCCGAATCTAAAATTTAGCTTTACATAGCTTTCCTTGGGTTTTTGCCGGTGCGGTTTCTCCTTGTCAGTGGTGCTGGACGGGGGCCCTGGCAAGCGCAATGTCTAGTCCTTCGGATGGTACAAAAAACCTAAGTCCTGTGTACACATTATGGTCCACGTAAAAAGATCCCTTGACAGTTGGAATTCGAAATGAGAGTTTGTCATAGTGTCGCTGTCCGGACATAATATCCCCCATTTCACACTGTATGATGTGCACCCGCCTTCATTAATCCAATCGGCGCAGAAAAGTGGAACGTTAAACCCATTTCACTTCAAACATATGTTAAGTCTAGCTGTTTATATAACGCAACTACCCTTCCTTCTGCGAATTGGACAACCAACCTTGGGCTAGTGTTTAATTATATATAATTACATGGGTTTTACAGGTAAATAATTCATAATGCACCCGAGGGTTAATTTGGAGTTCACTAAGTACATAATGACCAGCTTGCATAAATTGGGTGTTTTGAACTACCGACCCGGGCATCTTTCACCTATAGAGAGGTATGGGTGGAAGGAAATGAGTGTAGATAGAATGGACGTGTAGAGAGGTATGGGTGGAAGGAAATGGAAGTGTGGATAGAATGGACGTGTAGAGAGGTATGGGTGGACAGTGAATGGTGGATACTGAGACAAATGCGGAAAGCATAGATGGAATGGGCGTGAAGAGAGGTATGAGTGGAAGTAAATGGAACTTAAGTGGCATATAGATGGAATAGACGTGTAGAGAGGTATGGGTGGAAGGCAGCGGAACTTTAGTGGAGTGTAGACGGAATAGACGTGTAGGGAGGTATGGGTGGAAGGGAATGGAAGTGTAGATGGAATGGACGTGTAGAGAGGCATAGGTGGGAGGTGATGGAGCTTTAGTGTGGTGTAGATGGAATGGGAGTGTAGATGGAACAGACGTGTAGAGAGGTATGGGTGAAAGGCAGCGGAGCTTTAGTGGAGTGTAGATAGAATAGACGTGTAGAGAGGTATTGGTGGAGTGCAGATGAAATGGGGACGAAGGGGGTGGGGGAGGGGTATAGATACAATAATGGTTTAGCGGCGTAAAAATGGAACGAAGGCTGAGTAGCGTAAAAATGGAATGAAGGTTTACTCTGGTATAGATGGACGGGAGTAGATGTTTAGTGGGGTATGGTTGGAATGGAAGTTGAATGGGGGTATAGGTGGAATGGAAGCCCAGGAGGTATTGGTAGAAGTTTATGAAGTTCACTGGTCAGTAGAGATTAAATACAGTTTTATTAGGACATAGAAGGAAGGGTGGGATATATTTAATGGAATAAAAGATTAGTGGAATGGAGGTTAAGATGGATACAGATGGAATGAGTGTTAGTGGAGTATAGGCGCGGAATGGGAGTTTAGTGGGGTATAGGTTTGATGGGAGTTTAGTGGAGAATAGTTGGAAATGGGAGTTTAGTGGAGAATAGGTGGAAATGGAATTTAGTAGAGTATTGGCGGAATGGACGTTTAGTGAGGTATATACATGCAGGTGGAATAAAATATCAGTCGGTCATAGAATGTTATACAGGTATAACAGAACCATATAGGTATAAGTGAAACAGAAGTTGATTAGTTTTTCAAATAAGTAATTGTGATTTGATATAAGTTTTCTTATTTTGCCGATGCATGTATTAAAAAATGTATCACGGTTTCACAAACCTATCCCTATTTATTTATTAATGTATTATGTATCATAATAATCAAGACTGACTTCTTTTAGCATAATCATCATCACAAATGACGTCATTGTACATGTAACCAATTGAAAGAGTGCAATAGAGGTGTGACCAAACATTACAAACATTCTTGTTTTTAATCCATCAAATAAAATGAGAGAAAGAGAGAGATAGAGAGAGAGAGAGTGTGTGTTCCCCGGGATTTCTCTTCGTGTTTTCTCCTCCTTGTCAGTGGTGCAGGACGGTGGGCCTGGCAAGGGGTCAGTGCACAAAAAATGAACCATTACACCACACTTCGTTTCATTTCATCGCATTGCATTATGCTCTCGGTGGCATTTGTACATGTCTAATGCTGCGGTGTTCCTACTAGGAGAGAGAGGGAGAGAAAGAGAGAGAGAGAGAGATGGGGTTTAACTCAACACAAACATTGTCATTTCGGGACTAACATATGATTCAATTTTATTTCAATAATTCGTTTGTGCGTAGGAGTCTTTAGCAGTGGGAGGAAACCGGAAAATCCGAAGAAAACGCACGGGGCTGAACAGGCGACCCTAATCCTTGTCACCTACAAGCGGGAATCGAAACCACGCCACTTGACTCAATGACAGACCTTATGAGCCAACGCACATCTCCTAGATAGTGACACCGAGGCAAACTTGTCTGGAGGCGACCAAATCAAATTTATCTGTAAAGATGGGAGGTGTGAGTATTTACTAAAACAAAATAAAAAATACACCAGACGTTTTTCTTTTTTTTTTGTACCAATTCATTTTTTTTAATCAATCAAAGATATTATATCTAATTAAAACATAAGTCATACGTAGACAATATCAATCATTCGCATACATGTAAAGACATTTTTGCAAATGATTGACAGGTCTCGGGATTATATAAAACGATGATTAGAGCCTAATTTATTGATTCGACTGTAGGATCTCCTGTTGCACCAAAGATAAATTAATTATTGAAACAAAAAACACCTATATCTAACAGGTAAGTCTCATCATAATTTTACATTTTTCAAAATTAATGTAAATGAATTTCAAATAGGTTATTAATAGTCAGTGTATGGAGACCATACTATGAACAAAAACACAAACTAGAAAGAAAAAGGTTTTACGACAATTCTCACGGAACGACCCCTCGATAAATCAAATTAGGTGAATAAATCTGGGGACACGCCTTAAAGAGACAATACCTGTTTGTTAAATGATAAGGATTTACTTACCGTGATTTGACGGGATTTCTTATTAAATTATACGCAACATTGAGAATAAACTTTCACTGCATTTCTAAGATTGTTCTCAGTTTTTCCAGAATTAAAGTAAGTTTAAACTTAACGAATTGCATTGTGCGAGACAAAATAATTTGTTAAAAGCTATAATAACTTATAGATGTCTTATTTTGATTATGATTATATAAAATTAATTACATTTATTTTCTTGTCGAAATTGATAATTCATCTTAAGATTTCGGTGGTTTTAGAGATCCGTTATTTATAGATAATTTAAACATATATAAAATTTGGATAAAGATCTGTCTCTTCTTGCTATTTTAATACAGATAATGAGAAATCAATATATTAAAAAATTCAGTCAAACCACTTTATCCCGAGCGAAGTTATCGGCGTATGAAATATATTATAGCATCCATTGTTAAGTACCATTATATCAAAGTCTCGGTTATGTACTTTTAGATTAAATTAATAAATAGCGATCGTGTTTAATCCATTAAAAATCACGGTCATCCGATGCTCTAGAGAGAGGATTTTGGGCTTGTGTGAATAAAATGTCTTAACAAATAAACCGGCATGTAGCTCTTACGATGCTTCTTTTAGACTATTATTTATTGAGTTTTAGTTTATTTCTAGAAATACTGGTAGAATTTTTCATACCATAATAATTTAAAACGTTGACATTTACGAAAATTATTAACCACTAAAAACAATGTGAACTGCTAACATACGCTTGTACGTCACAAACCTCGTGGGTTTGCTCCAGGTGCTCCGGTCTCCCTCACTGCTAAAGACCTCTACGCACTAGCGAATTATTGAAATACATTTGAATCATTATATGTATTCCCCGATATGTCCTAGTTTGTGTCGAGTGGACGTTACCCGCCCTCATCTCCCTCTCTCTCTCTTGCACTAAGGAGGGGCTGTTCCCCAAATCCCTTTCCGAGTTACTGGCACCACCTCTAAGTTATTTGAAGGTGTTTACAAAGAAAACATTTCTATTTTATCTTCATCTTTAACACAATTTATGGATAAAGTATTCTAGAAGAAATGTCAGCAGCCGTTATGTGTTCTATAATCAATATTCACTGAACATTTATGTTATCTCATGATGGAGTTACAATTTAATAACCTGTCAAACGCAACATGTTAATGATAATATCCAGACAGTTGATTAATGTGAATATTTATATTTATACTCAGATCACCAGCCAGAAATAACCCCAAAAAGTCATTAAAATATTTGGTTTTTTTAAAAAAATGTATACATTTCTTTTATTAAACAATTATAACATATATGATAAAAGGGACAAGGCAGTAAAGGCAGAATTAGACTTTCTCAGACAGTTACATATTTTCTCACAGGGAGTTATATAGACTTTCTCACCACGAGTTATACAGACTTTCTCATGCAGAGTTAGACTTTCTCAGACAGAGTTATACACTTTCTCATGCAGAGTTAGACTTTCTCAGACAGAGTTACAGATTTTCTCATACGGATTTATATAGACTTTCTCACACGGCGTTCGACTTTCTCACGCGGAGTTAAATACTTTCTCACTCGTAGTTATGCAGACTTTCTCACGCTGAATTAAACTTTCTCACGCGGAGTTACAGACTTTCTCACGCAGAGTTAGCCTTTCTCAGACAAGATTTAAAAAAATTTCTCACACTGAGATGCATTCTAAACTTTCTCACACGGAGTTAACAAACTTTCTCAGATAGAGTTATAGACTTTCTCACTTCGAATTCGATTTCCCCTTCCCGGATAAGATTTTCTTTCACCAAATAAATCTTTCTATCTTTTTTTTTTCAGAATGGCCACCAGTAGAATGATAAATATTTTAATACTCGCACTTTTAGTCCCTTCTTCATCACCATATTATGGTAAGCTAAAGATGTTCTTTCTAATCTACATTAATCAGATTGATGTACAAAGGTCGGCCCTAAAAAAGCAAAGGAAAGAGTCATATATT